CAACTTGTGCGGAAGTCACTACCCGCTACACATGGCGATGGTGGAAGTGTCCAGCCAGAGAATACTGGTGGACAAGGCCTTCTCAGTGCCCAAGTGCGTGAGGTTGGCTCGGATGTCGCATCACTCGCACAAGTTGTTGAGAAAAATCAAAGGGACAGTACCAAAAGAATTGAGAGATGACTTAAGCGAAATCTGGGGAGAAGATCTTCTGAAGTTGGAAAGAGAAAACACGAGCGATCACGAGAGACAAAACGTGATCGGGGAACCTGTGGGAAGTACTCCGAACCTGGAAGACAACGACACGATGCACGAGAAAATGATGGAGCTTGAGCCTCTCTTGGAAGCCTCAGGGGAGCGTAATCTCAGGAGCATTGAGATCTCTCATGGGGAATGCCCATGCCACTGTTTGGCACAAACGGTGTGGTATCCAGATCACAAGAACCTTTGCCTGGTGTGGGATGTGGAAGAGATTCGGTCGATCGGACTACCGGATCACCGGCAGAAGGTGACGCTCTTAGTAGTGAGTACGATGTTAGCTCTGAGATGGATAGAAGAGAATATAACGAAGTATCGGGAGGCGACGAAGCCAACGGCTGAGTCAATATACGCGATAGACTACAGCAGGAGACTCGAGTTGTTTGAGACTGCGTGCAAAGTATTCGCCATACCGACGGAAGTCAGGCACGTATGGAGTCGCTTGAGGTACTTTCCATGGTTTCGGGCGACACTGACGTCTTGGTTGTACATGACAACGAAAGATCACATGAGAAAACATCAAAAAGAGTATCGACAGTTCCAGGCCGAGATTGGGCCGGAAGCTTTCAAGAGACCCCTGCTAACCCATCGTAATGCGATCACGACGGGATGGAAAAGAGTGGGGAAGATGTCTAGAGACAATACCAAAGCGAGGGAGTCGATACTAGAGGAAGACCTGGCGAAGAACGTGAGCTTGAGCCTGCACAACTCCTTTTGCTTGAACCGAGAAGCTAGGGTGAAGGCACTACCCAACCAAGCAAAGAGATTGCAGGAGCAGAGAGAATGGATGCGATCCTATGAACAGCTGAAGGCTTGGGAGGAGATTGTGATTAGTTCCGATGATGAAGAGGAACTGTTGAGACAGTTTGCCGCATCTAGCACTTCAGGATGCAGTACCTCCAAGGCGAAGAGTACGAGATGAATGGGCAAATCGGATGGATCTTGAGTCTTGAGAGGGAAGGGGGGCTTGAGCGTGGATCCGAGTGAAACTTGGATTCACGAAAAAGAAATTTTAACAAAGCAAATATTGTTACTAATATACTATATTTATTATATAAATCGAAATGCTGCATGACAATTTCCTGATTGAATAGGACAAAAGAGATTTTAAAATGATTGGCTTGAAAAGCGAAAATTCAAGGGTGCAGGTGTATGCAGATTTTGGTTGCTGTTTAGCAATAGCGTGAAAATTTTAAATGGCTGTGAATTTTGGGGTGTAGATAAGCTTAAATCTGCTGCAAACTTCTGTAAATGACCACTGGCACTGTATCTTGAGCAACACTCGGTTTTTCTGGGACTCACTGGCAGAAGACAGCGCGCGATGAGGACATCGATCTCGAGTCCGGGGAGTATGTGCCAGTCGGTCATATTTGGAAGTTTGACCTTGAGAGAAGCAAAAAACACTTGATTTTGGAGTGAAATTTAATTTTTCAAAATTTCGAATGGAACCTGTCATGCACGATTTTCTCGCGAGAACTGAAAATCAGAAAAAGAGATCAGAACAATTTCAGAACAATTGAGTCGCACACGCGGGAAAGTTGTAAGAAAAAGCAGTAGGAAATTGCTATTCGCAATTTCCATCACTATCATAATCGAGAGTAGAGCTGTCCCATCTGTGACAGAGACGAGAGCATTCCCTCGAATTGGATTATAACGACTGGAGTATTATTCGGAACTGGACTAGAGTGAACCTTCGGTGGAAAGGTGGACAGCTTGAGTGTCCTAATGGTTCACAAGAAAACTATTGTCTAGAGTATAAACTCGTTCTCATTGTTAAAACTATAAAACATTAGACTCATTTAGTTACGTTATTTAATTCTTGAGTTAACTACCGACTGGATTATTTCCCACTTCTTGAGCGTGCTACTATGTGAGTACAAATTTAAATTCCTAGAGTGTGTTTTATGATTGTTATGTTGAGGTAAGGCGAGTTTTAGGTTGATCCATCTGAAATGGATCAAAGTTCCACTGTCTAATAAAAAAGCAACTTAACGGATTGTTCCAACCCGGTTTTTAACGGCGTTCATGTATTTTGGGTATCTAGAGACCTAAGTATGGGGACGTTTCTAATTCTAGAGTGGGGGGATATTTTAGTAGTAGCCTTTAAGCTGTAACGGGTCGTAGTCTCATGTCACAAGCGAACCGAACTGGCTCCGACCGTTCTTGAGGTAGAAAAACACAAGAGATAGTGTCCCTGACCCTTGAGCCAGTGGTTATAGGGCCTATTTTTCTTAAGCCTCATGTGTGACTGCAGTAGACGAATGTTACAATAAGGCGAGTTTTAGGTTGATCCATTTGAAATGGATCAAAGTTCCACTGTCCAATAAAAAGTAACTTAACGGATTGTTCCGACCCTGTTTTTAACGGCGTTTGTGTATTTTGGGTATTTCGAGACCTAAGTATGGGAACGTTCTATTTTCTAGAGTGAGGGGATATTTTGGTAGTAGCCTTTAAGCTGTAACGGGTTCTAGTCTCATGTCGCAAGCGAACCGAATTGGCTCCGACCGTTCTTGAGGTAGAAAAACACAAGAGATAGTGTCCCTGAATCTTGAGCCAATGGTTATAGGGCCTATTTTTCTTAAGCCTCATATGTGACTGAAGTAGGCGACTGTTACAACCCTAAATTCTGTTTTATTATTATTAATATTATTATATATTGAATTAAGCATTTTTTGTTTGTCTGTTGGTTTCGTAGTTTTTTTTTGTGGAGACTATCTGATTAACAGACATTCGAATCCAAGTGTAGCGGGGTTGCAACTTTACCATGGACTATCCATCCTTCTGTTGAAACCATGTGTCGTTGTCCTTAGATTGATTATTACTAAAAGCCATGTTCGGAAGGTGTTTTATGACGTACTTCTTGACGGTGGCTAATTCTGGCTACTACCTCGAAAACTACCATCCTATATCTTGAGTTCTTGCGATCAATCGAAACAACATGTTGGATGAATCTTTTCTGCATAAGTTGCTTTTTCCAAAAAAAATTAAACAAAAGATATGATACTCGAAAAAGTTAATACTTGGTTTTTGTACCGTTTTTTGGATTTTTTTGGGTTGTCCGAGCTAGACCTACTAAGATTCTCAAGGCAAACACTCTTCCAAAAAAAAATTTAGATTTAATCTAAATAAATCAGTGCCGAATTCTGTTTTCAATAAGACCTAGAGTCGCGATTCTCCGAGTTTAGACCTGTTTTTATTTCTTTATGGTCTTTTCAATTTTTGTTTAAAGGCAAGTTACCAGTGCAGTCACTGGTCTCCTGCCTGATTCGTAACATTTTATTACTCTTCTCTATGTGTCTTAGTTTCGTCTACGGATGTTTTAGGATCCCTGATTTCACGTTCCTTCTCGAAAACTACTCCGCTAAATCTTAGGCTTAGTGTTCAATCGAGAAACGCGATTTTGGAACTATTTTCTGCTGAAGCGGTGTCACTTCTTTCTTTTGCAACAAATTGTTATGGATTTCGAAGGTCAAGTTTTTGAACATTTGATCGTTTTTTTAAATAGTTTTTATAAACTACCCTATGAAGTTTGAGATGGAGGGTTCAATCAAAGGAATCGCTTGCGATACTTGTTCCCTACAGAAGTGGCTACTCTTCATTTTTTGTAAGAAAAATATGATATCTCAGGAAAGATTCTTATTTCTCAAAAATTTTCAGTCTTCTCAATTATTTTAGTAGAGAGAGTTGCTATTGGGCAAAGTCCAATTTTTGAATATAGACATTTTGTTCCGCATCAATGTATTAAATTCTTAAAATATCAGACAGTTACCTCTAGCTTTAGCTGGGATTCTAATTATCTTATTTCGAGGTTTACGATTATTATGGTTAACCTTGTTTTTTTTTGACAATTTTCCTTTTTTTTCGACTTCTTATTTTTTATGTTCGTGTTTTATAGCAAGTGGTGCGAAGCTAAGCTTTGCCTCTGCGTAAAAATATCTTGCTAGTGTTTTATTCATTTTCTCGTAAAGCGAGCAGTTAGAGGGACAGGCCGCGCGGGTGTATCTTGTTTATGTACCTTGTTTATGTGCCAATCCATATAGTCGTGCCGGCTGACATTTCGCTGACCTCAACCTTGCGTATATCTTTAATCTCATCCCTTTTATTCATGGTCAGTAGTTCAGATTTTTCTCAACTTTTAGAACAACTGAATCACTCATGTTGTCTTGTCTTTAAACTGTCCTGATTGCGTAATTGAGTAATTAGGCCAGGTTTGTAGGTTTATTTTTTCATGACGCAAAACCCAATGCCCTTATCAAAAGGTCCTGCCTCTAGTCCGTTAATTTTGAGATGTTTCCTTGCTTCTTCAATTCCCGTATCACCTGAAGTCTGACGATCGTTGCGGCGGCGAACTTGCGGCTACTTGAGTTTTGGAGTGTTTTGAGGCACTATTGTTCGTAAAATTGAAAACCATTAACAAAATGTATATTTGATAATGTATATTTGAAAAATTTGCAAAAACCTACATTTGCGAGTCCCTGCTATTGATGGCTCAAAATGGAAACCGAGGGTATCTAGCCTTTGAGCCAACTCGCTGTGTTGTTAGTGTTTCTTTCTTAGTATGTTGGAAATTATAATTGCCTTCACCTTGTCACAGATTTCATAACCAACTAAGTACTTCAAGCAGAAAGTTTAATCTACTAAAAAATGAGAGAAGTACAAAAATTGGAAGACTTATTTAAGATTTTTGATCGATTTCTGTGCTAACTCGCTGCTCTTATCTGTATTAATGTTAAATATAATGTTCAACTTTTTCTTTCTTTCTTTACCACTCAAACGTGACTACTCGTGAATGTTCATAATTGAAACAGAGGACTCCCTGTGTTCTGAGGGGCAGAGCCACTGGTTTATTCAGAGCAAATTTGCATTCATTTCGCCATTTCAATATCACTGCTTGTGTTCAAATTTGTACAAATATGAACTCGGTCAGCTAAATTGCCACGTTTCAGTTCTACTTTTGAATGAATAACGAAAGAGTTTGTAACCGATTCACCGTTCAAAAAGTTGATCTGCTAACTTAGCACGTTTCAGTTCTTTCTTATTAGAAAAAAGAATGAGTTAACTTTCAAGTAATCGTTCCAAAATGGAGGTTCAAACAAAGGCGGCTCCAGATTTCAAGCTGAAAACCTCAGGATCCCAACTCAAAATCCAGGAAAGCATCGTTGAAAACGCCAACGAGGTGTTGTTTCACTACCCAACATATAACATTCAGACTCCGAATCTACGATCACAGTATTTAAAGCACAATTTGAATAACACACTGTTTGTTTCGCCCGATTTGGATGAAACTGCACTTGTTAGTTACGAAGAAGGAGGTCGAGCGTTAAAACGCCTGGATGATTCTCAGAAGAGCTCGTTGAGAAATTATGGTCAGTTTGGAGTGCCAAGTGTACTGTTCCCTGGAAACGATCATGTTTGGAGAGTCAGTGAAATTTTTCAGAAGGGCAAACAAAAGACAAGGGCCACCTTCTACGTGTGGATCGCCAATGCTTACAAGTAAGTTCGATTTATTTTTGGATTAGTTTCGTTATTACTTTGCTCAATAAGGATAGAAAGTTTAGTTTGCGCCTGAATTCGGCAAAATTAAGGGTTTTCTGCTCATTTTTGATATACAATTCAGTTTTTTTTTAAGTTTTGTTAACCATTTTATCAATATTTGCGATTGGTAATTTATCCATTTCACAAACTGTATGAAATATAATTTATTCAATTCAAAGTTTTCTTTTCAAAAACCGGTTAGTAGAAAAGTTCGAAGGTCACTCCATATGGCCTAATGACAAACATGTAATGAAAGTTGCGGAAAATAGTAAATTGGAATTATATTAGCTATTGTTTCACGCATTTGAGGCCTAATGTATCGTCGATTAGAAGTCGGCTTCATATCCTAGATCTATTCATTGTGATATATTATTGACTTATCATTTATCGATCATCTATTTTTGAGTGTAAAAGAACGAAGTGATTTTGATTTATATAATAGGTCTTGATGATTTTTTCCAGGAAAAATTCTAAAAATGCTCCTATTACTACAGCAAGGCATCCTACACAGGGGCGGATTCGACCCACTGCCGAACCAAAGGGTCCTCCCTTTGGTACTTTTTAAGAAATCCGCTTTTGGCCGACCGACCCTAAAGTTTTTCTTAATGCGCCTTTGGCGCCAATATATACTAATTTTGAAGGTGGAAGCGCGCGCAAAAAAAAAACGCGATTTTTTGGTAAACTTTTTCCAGAAAGTGCCCATAAACGCCTTTTTTGGCCTGTTTTTTCAAAATTTTGCCTGCAGTGCAGAAATTTTGGCAAAAACAGGGTCTTTTTAGTGCTTTAGGAGAGCTCGGAAAATCAACTTGGTCGACATAGAAAAAAAGGTCGACAAAATTTTCGAAACTTTTTTGAAAATCCCCCCCCCCCCCGAGAAAATCCTAGATCCGCCCCTGATCCTACGAATTAATGCACTCAAGAAAAAACAAAACAGTTATATATCCGCTTAATGAGTTGAAATTCACTCGCTGGAAAATAGGCAAACTCCGCTCTCCCATGATGAAAGCAGAAATGGTGCAAAAAAACGACTAATTTCTAGTTTCGGTATTGGATTTTCTTTTTTTTCAGATTTCCCGGTGGAATATAAAAACTCACCAATTGATACAGTTTAACTAAGAAAAAGTTCAATCATAGACGTTTATTAAACTTCAAAGAGCTTTAACCTGATATATTTTTTTCTTCGAAAGTTTAAAAAATGGTAATTTTTTTTTACAGTTTTCCTACCTTTTGTTGGCTATGGTTATTATTATTTTTATTATAATTATTATGATTATTATTTTTATTATGATTATGATCGTTATGATGATGATGATTATTATTATTATTATTATTATTATTATTATTACACTTGCGATCAGCTTAGCGCGTTATTACGAACCTTCATTTTTCTCACCTTATTCGCAAACAAAAAGTGTTTGTACGTTAAGCTTCCGTGGCTGAGTGGTTAGTGTGTGAGACTCTTAATCTCTAGGACGGAGGTTGGAAGTAACCGAATTTTTGCTAATTCGAGGCTTATTTCTAATTTTTATTGAACTTTATAGAGCTGCTTTTTGTCATTTTCTCGCTAGTGTTTGCAAAGCGAAGCGTCGCCTCTGTGTTATTTTTACCCTTGCGATAGGCAAGGGTATTGCAACCGCTCATAATAGGTACTAGACTTTTTTTTTAGCGTAAACAACTTTTTCTACAGATATCGTACTTGCATGTAAATTTGAACGTGTTTTACTGTAGAGGTAAATGTAGAGTGCATGTTAGGTATGTGCCTTGTGTGCCTATTATGAGTTCCTTTAGTGGTATTTTGTGCCAAAAAATTTTGTTATTTTTTCGACACATGAGCTTCACTTTAATTCTATCGGCTCATTTTGCGAATGATTTATTTCAATTGCCTTTTGTTGGTGTTTAGAAGAATGGTTGAAGTCTCACAAAATTTTTTGGACAAGTTTTAATCACCTTTCCTACCCCCTATTCAAATTGAAAATTTTAAAAATGAAAAAAAAAAATTAAATCTTTTTTTTTACGTTCCTATTTTTAGTTGGCACAATATACTTGGTTTTGACCTATTATGCTTTTTATTGTTAAATCAGCTTTTTTCTTATTATTTTCCTCGTGTAAATAATTGAGTTTTTGAGTTTTCGCAACTTCTTGGTTTACTTTTCTGCTAAGTTTTTCTACTAAAATTAAAAATACGTTTTCATTGCTTTTTTGCCCATATTGTTTTGAGAAGTAAAGCTTTCACTTGAAATGAAAACAAAGCAAGCCTGAATTGCCTAAAAATCAGAAATAATTAAATCAGTACTTTTTATAATTTAAATTAAATTTTCTAGTCGAGCTCATCGTTTTGCAAAATCAATTTGAGTTGCTGTCTGCTAATTTTTTGTTCCTCCAGTTTTGTGTAGTTTCCTTGCCTTGAAATGGTAAAAATGAGAACCAAGCAAGCTTGAAGGGCTATCAAATCACAATTGCCAGACGAATTTAGGATTTTTCAGTTTTTCGTTCATTTATTAAAAATTAAAATTAATGTTTTCACGTTAAGTTAATTTTAATCTGTTTTCGGGCTACATCTTTCTAAAAGTAGTTCAATGGCATATGTTTTTCTTTAATATTTGTTTTTTTTTCTGTTTGATTGTTTGGCAAACCGTTTTTCTGTTAACTTGTTGGTCTTGTCTGATTGGGTTTTTAATCTGGAAATTGAAATTGGTGTTTTTTGGCTTCATAGTTGTTCAAAATCATTTTTTTTTCGTAAATTTTTTCTAGTTTTTTCTTTGTTTCGTTTTTTCTATTTGTTTTTCGTTGAACTCATAAAACATAAGTTTTTGAATTGTTTTGGAATTGATTTTTCCAAGGTTTTGCAAAATTTCTCGTTGTCACTGTTGTTGTCTTTTTTAAGAATCGTTTTATGCTTTTGCGAATTATATTTTTTGTGTTTCTAATCTAATTTTTCTTGGGCTCGGGAAAAATTGAATAATATTTTTCGGTTTCTTTCATTTAGTTATTTAAAAAGTAAAACAGAAAGAGTGGTTTTTGGTTATTTCATCCATGCAGTTTACCAATGATTCGATCGCCTGTTTTCGAAATACTTCGATGTTTAGCTTTCTTTCTGGTAGTAAATTTACCACGATCGATTTCAGCTAGTCGTGTTATTTGTTTCATCTTTGTCTTGAATGAGCTTAAAAGATTTCTCTTACCTTTATTGACTTAGATGCCTCTTTTTGAGTCATTTCAGGAGCAAAAAAAGTTTTCCCTTATTGTTTTGAGTGTAGAGTTAATGTTTTAAAAAAATTTTGTAATTTAGTTTTTCTAATAAAAACATTTCTTTTTCAATGCAACGTGTGTCTGTCCAAGAGTTTTTGGCTTTGTTTTCGCTTTGTTAGTTCTGTTTTGATGCTTCTTTAACTTACAGGTTTTTTCTTGGCATTTTGTTCTGAAAAAAGTTCAAGACAAAACGAAGATAAATGTTTTAGGCAGATCAAGTTTTTAAATTTTTTCTGTTGAAGTTTGCAAGTAATTGAGTTCCAAGATTTGTTTGGAAAATTATTATTTTTCTGAAGAAAAAAAAACAATATTTTGAAGTTTTTTTTTCAATATGTCGGTTAATCTGCAGGTATCGCAAAACCATTGTTTCGCTTGAAAGGTTTTTTTTTTGGTTCAAATAGTCTCGGATCGTAAAAGTTTTGTAGCTCATTTTTTATGGCAACAGTTTTGTATGCTTTTTAACGGGTGGCTACCAAAGTTTTGTTGAGTAATTTTTTTTCAATTGCTATAACTAAACAGGCTTTAAAAAACTTTTTGTAATTTTATGTTAACAAAGTTTTTGCGGAGACTCTTCGATGAATAGGCATTAGAATCCAAGTGTAACAGGGTTACATTTTGGCCATGGACAGGATGGACTGTCAGGGATGAAAAAGGTGTATTATGTAGAATTCAAATTCCTATTTGATAAAAACATGTATGATGAAAATGTATAAGATCGTTTTTTAAATTTTATTTTAGACGCTATGGAAACATTTTTTTTTCGAAAAACGTGGTGCCAATGAAAAGTACGACCTGTGTGGGGGGAAAATTTTAACCAAATGTTTTTCATTTTCTCGAAAACTACCGTCACACATCAAAGGTTTTGTTTTACATCGAAAGACCGGCTTGTGTGAATCCCCCTTCATTAGAGGCTGCGCTCAAATTTTTCGCACAAAAAGTTACGGCCCTCAGAAAAGTCAAATATTCAATTTTTTGACCGTTTTAAAATCTTTCTGACTTTTCTCGAAAACTTTGCTCCTGAATCTGAGATTTATGGTTTCAATCGAAAGGACAAATTGTGATAAGCTCCCCTGCAGAAGTGGCTACGCCCAAACTTTTTACGCGATAAGTTATGAACCTCGAAATAGTCAAATAATAGACTTTTTAACATCTTGTTGACTTTTCTCGAAAAGTACTTTCACAAATCTGAAATTTTGGGTTCAATGGAAAGAGAGGGTTGTGGGAATTTCCCCTGCATAAGTGGCCACGGGCAGTTTTTAAACTAAAAAGTTATCGTCCTAGGAAAAATCATATTTGTGATTTTTGAACGTTTTTTGAAACTTCTTGATTTTTTTAAAAAGAAAATTACCCTCCCAGAGTTGAATTTTTGAGTTCAATCGAAAGATCAGGATTGTGAAGCTCCCCTTTGTAAGCGGCTGCGCTCATTTTTTTCCGCAAAATTTAGGTTCCGCGGAAAATTCAAATATTAGATTATTTGACCGTCTTTCAAGCTTTTTGAATTACCTCGAAAACTACCGTGAGATTTTGGTCTTCATTAAAAAAATGGGAAGCTCCACTGTTACAAAAAATTGTGGCTTTCGGAAAATTTGATTTTGACCTTTTTTTGAAACTTTGACTTTTCTCGAAGATTGCTCACTCAAATGGGCGGTTTTGGGTCAAATGCAGAAAAAGGGTTATAAGAACTTCACTTTGTAAGAGGTTACCTCCATAATTTTCTATCAAAGAAAGTTATAGCCCTCAGAAAAGGCAATGTTTTGATTTATTGTCAGTTTTTTGAAAATTTTAGATTTTTCTCGAAAACTACCTAGCCGAATCTAATATCAAGGGTTTGATCCGAAGCCTCTGTGCAAAAGCGGCCAAGCCCTAAGTTTTGTTTCAAAGAAAATTGTTATGTTCTTTTTACAAACACCAAATTATCAAACAAAATTCACTCCTGCTTATTTTACTGGAGAAACAAGTAAGGTTTTGGGTTAAGACTAATTTTAGATTTTGAAATAACCCATTTCATCCCACATCAGTACAACAAATTCAAAAAATATCAAACAGGTACCTCCAGCTTTAGCTGTGCACCTTATATGAAAATGTTTTTATGATGCTGTTTGAAACCGTCTCAAAGCCAGCAAACAGACCAACCTATTTGTTTTTTTTTCTGCAAAAATTATTGACGGCACTGTTGTTCGGGATCATAGTTGTACATGGATTTTTATACCGAGTCCAACAAAGTTAAGTGTCTCTGGTTGCAAGAGCGGATCTAGGGTTTTCTCGACGGGGGGGGGGGGGGCGGATTTTCAAAACATTTTCGAAAGTTTTGTCGATCAAATTGATTTTTAGAGCTCTTCCGAAGCTCTAAAAAGACACCTGTTTCTGCCAATTTTTTTGGAAAATGTTGACCAAGAAATCGCTTTTTTCAGCGCGCGCTTTCCTCTCAAATTATTAATTATGGGCGCCTGTAGAGATTTTAAGGGTCCGTTAGACAAAATGGATATCTCAAAATAGTGCAAAGGGGGACCTTTTGGGTCAGCAGGAAGTCGAGTCCCTGAAAGGGCGCGTCGGCCCCGTTCCCCGTCTAAATACGTCCCTGTGTGGTTGTGATTATCGGCAACTGGCACAATTTATTCGTATTTTTTATGGCAGCCCAACCTGAAATAACATCTGGGACATCAAATTCCGATCGACTATCGGTAGCAGGCTGCGATCGAATATTCACTTGTCCAAAAACAGTTACACTAGGCTGAAACTGTTTTTGGCCTAGTGTTGCCCTGTGCAACTCTGATTTTATCATATCCATTAATTTAGACCGTGAGCTGAACGAGCACTACTGGCTCTCGAATCGTGCAGCCTCCAACCATAAAGCATTCAAGATTAACATTCCACTACAGTACACGAAAACTCAACCCAAACCTGTTAAACGTTTGAGCTTCTGCAGTGCAGACTACGATCAACTGGACAGTATCATTCTGAACAAACCATTCAAAGGAATTTGCTGGACAAACCCAAACGCACTTCTGAGCCAATGGCACAGCTGGCTATTGGATATTCGGTCAAGCGCTGTTCCCGTTCGCACAAAACACAGAAGCAGTCTCGCCCCGTGGGTTTCGTCTGCTACCTCAGACAAGCTCAAGCGTCTGAACACTCCGAGGAACCAGAAAACAAGTCCCGCAATGGAAGACAAAGTGAACGCACAACTGCGGATATGTGAGCATGAGCTCGAAGTAGACCAATCAAACTACGAATCTTTACTTGCGAATGCTCGTGACACACGCGCTCTGTTCAAATACTACAAGTCAATCAAAAATCCCCAAGTTCTTCCTCCATCTGTATTTTGAAAACACTCTCGAGCGACATCAAATCTCGATAAAGCGACGTTATTCAACAGATTCTTTCGGTCGGTATTCACGACTCCATCATCTATTTTCCAACCATCCGATACTCAGATTCAGATAAGCGACTACGATGTTTCACTTTCCAAAATAACCAAAGTGACTTCGTCTCTTGACGTAAGCAAATCAACTGGGCCCGACAGACTCCCAGCGGCTTTGTTTAGGAACTGCAAAGCGTTGAACAAGTCTATCGCAAGTCTTTTCAAGTCAATCAAACACACATCAATTTTTCCATCTGACTGGAAAGTTGGAATGGTGAAACCACTGCACAAGAAAGACAACAAAGCAAACGTAGAGAACTATCGACCAATCACGCTGTTGAGTTTAATTTCTAAAGTCTACGAGAAGTGCATTTTCGACCCACTTTACGAACATGTTGCAAATCTTATTCCTACAACTCAATTCGGTTTCCAAAAGAAAAAGTCTACAATAACCCAACTTCTTGTGTATTTAGGCGAAATCTACTCCAACGTTGATATCAGTGAACAAGTAGTAGACGCAGTGTACTTAGACTTCTCGAAAGCCTTCGACAAAATTGACCACAATATTCTCCTGTCAAAACTCTCCAAAATTGGTGTCCGAGGAAACATGCTCAAAGTTCTGCAAAGTTATCTGAAAAACAGGCAACAATTTGTGGACATCGAAGGACGCGCCTCAGAATACCTATCGGTCTCAAGTGGCGTCCCCCAGGGATCAATTCTGGGACCACTGCTTTTTCTAATATATTTGATTGATCTTTCCAACGATCTATCATCAGAGGTTTTCAGCTTTGCCGACGATTTTAAACTCCTATCACTACACAAGCACAATGAGCCCTGCGATCTACAGTTCGACCTCGACCGGCTATGGAATTGGTGTACCTCACATCAAATGTCTTTCAACATAGATAAGTGTTGCGTTATGCACTTCAAAACTAAAAACTGTGGACCTTTCTACCTTGGGTGCAACGAATTGAAAACATCAAGTTGTGAAAAAGATCTCGGAGTGAAGGTTTCAAGTTCTCTAAAGTGGAGCGAACACATAAAGTTCGCATCTGCCAAAGCGATCAAAGTCCTATTCCTTTTAAAGCGATCCTCGGCGAAGCAACTTCAAGCATCAACAAAAGTTAATCTCTACAAGTCGATGGTTTTACCTATCATATGCTACGGGAGCTCAGTTTGGTATTCTTCGAAAACGGACCTCACAAAACTCGAAAACATTCAGAAGAAAGCTGCGAACTGGGCAACAAATTATTCGGAGAATTGCTATACTGACAAATTGTCTACGTTGAATCTCTTGCCTCTTTCTTTGTACATCGAGCTGAACGACATTTTGACGTTATCCAAAGTCATAAACAATCGTTTCGACTTCAACTGGCATCCCTTTGTGAACTTTTCTTCCCGGAGAAACAACCTTTTTGACCTGCCTTACGTCAGCAAAGAACAGCTGAAAGGAAATTTCTGGTATCGCACACAGAGACTCGCAAACCTATTGAACAACAGAATAGATTTCCTCAATTCTAACGGCCTCAAAGCAAGACTGTTGAAAACTTACTGGTGCTATTTCAATGATGTCTACAACTCTTCTTCTTCTTGTACTTGGCGCGTTCTTTGCCTTTGTGCAAATTGTCGCCAAACTAACTTTTAGCGTTTGATTTTCGTTTCGGGGTCTTATACACCCTTCAGTATTGTTTTACTGTAAATTCATAATAATAATAATCATAATAAAACCTTTTCTGGTAGTTTTTGCGTCTCGTCCTTTGAAGTCCTTTTTGGTTGATGATATTTCGATATAACGCCTTGTTTTAAGTTTTTTCTTGTAGATTCTATTTGTAGCAGCGTACATGGCCGTAGACGTCATTGAGATGTCATGATGGATTGTATGATGGATTGTCATGGAGTGATATTCAAAAATTCAAATGAGTTTTGAGATCTGAATTTTCATACCTAGTTGAAATAGAATTATCTTTTTTTTGCATTTTTTCTACAAAGCGCAATAATTGGATAAAAAAGTCAATTATGAGCGATTTTAAAATAGCTAGACAAACGATTAATTTGTATTTGAACAAAGTTTGGTTAAAAGCATGGATAAAATTGTCTAATTTTGTCTCAAAGCCAGAAAATATTTAGACCTGTATTTCTCGAAGTTTTTTAGTGAAAAATTTTGAATCCGAATAACGAACAATAGGGATTTAATATGATACTGTAACACTTCACCCTCTACGAGCTTTTTTTGGTGTACTCGAAATTGGGCAAAAAACCTTCCTTGCAAATAGCTCATAATGAGCGTCGTGTAAATGGTAAATGATCTGAAACAATAATCATTTGCTTAAATAAATGTTCTCTATTGTTGCTGTTTTTTTTCAAGTTTTATAAAAAAAAATGATTTTGGAAGCAAATGACGATTTTTTCCCAAATGTTTTCTGCAAGTCCATGAGCATTTTCTGAAAATTTGAGGTGTTGAAAATAGATACGTTTTTTTTTCATTTAATTTGTTCAAAATATAGTTTTTTTTCGTAGTTTGGCGATTGTCCCTTTTTTCTCTGCTTCGCCGCGGAGCTTTTTGCATGTAAAAGATGATGAAAATGTGTACATGATGTGTTTCAGCCTGATTGTTATACAGTCAAAACATCGAATACTAGGCAAGGGAAAATTTTGTCTGCACCGCTCCTATCGATCAATCAAAGCGGGTCTTTGGAAGCTTGCAGATGCACTCGTAGGCTTACCCTACATTCGCAAGTCCTTGAACGTAGTCGGGTTGCCATCGTGGGATGCGGAACTAGCACAATACATTGCTCCTCGAGACTATTCAAAAGTGGCTGAAATTATAGCAGTGGTTGAAAAGTATTATGAAGCCAATTCGGAACGAAACGATAGCAAATACCCGAAACTGCCGAGTTCTGCTAGTATTTTTGACATCGAACTGGCAATGCAAAATTTAGGACCAAATGATTCAGATTTTCCCTGGTTCATTTTCAATCAAAAGATGTGGAAGCAAATTCAAGATATAACAGAGGATTTGTTGTTGGAAATGGACAAAATCGAGCATTTGTTCACGATTGACATGAAGTACGACCTAGTTCTGAAGCACTCCGGGTCAAGGTCGAATCTGAATGACGTCATCACTGGGGCGGGAGACGGAGATGACAGGAGCACTACTTCTTCGTTCGTAGCTGATAAGGTCGAACCCAGTGCCCTGCAGAAAGTAGTCAATGAGAAGATCAGGGAAGCATATGTGGAGAAGTTTTTGCAGTTGATCGCAAATGTAAGTTGGCCTTTCCTAACCTTCTCTTTTTATATGTTTTTAAGTGTTCTAAAAGTGGCTATGAGTTGAAGAAGACCGGCAAATTGATCGGAAAAAGATAAAATCTGTTTTTGAAATTGCCTTCAAAAAACTCAAATTCTACGCCTGGAAGAGAAAGAGAGCTGGTGCTATTTAAAAGATACGTAGACGGAGTTTTTCGCCTTTAAGAGCGTGTTGGATAGCAGTTGCGTTTTCAGTCGGAATCTCTACAAGCCATTGACAAACGACTGCCAGAACTGCTGGTGAACAACTTCAATTGCAACGACAGGCTGGACTGTCACGAGGCTGAAAAGCAGAGTGAAATTGAAGAAATCATGTCAAAGTACGAGGGAGAGCTGAAGAAAACTAACCCAGTGAAGGGCCGGACGAAGCACTGGAGAAGACCGATGGCTAGGAATCATCGGCAACAATTGCAGGATGAAATGAAGAAGGAAATGGAAGAAATGCGTAATGAACGATTGGAGCCGTGGGTGCGACCTCTCTACGACATTGCAGCCACATTCGAAGCTAAGTTGGAGGAGCTGAAGGCAAAGTGTGATGTAATCAAAGAGCCCCTGTTTGAAATCAAGCACAAGATTATGATTTGGAATCCAAAGAACTACAAAATAGAACGAAGGGAGAATCTCTTCTACCTCAGAGGAGAAGAAGTTCCCTGGACCAGAGTGCCCACACTGTTTGCTGAAACGGAGGCCACCAACTCCACCTTTACTCGCTCAGCCCATGCTCAGTTCAGTTACACCTGTGGTCAGTCATCAGCTTACCTTAGTTTTCTTTTAAAGTCTACCAGGTTTTTGTTTCCACTCCTAACTTGCTACATCCATTACTGGTTTTGATGGTTCCAAATCATGATTTGATATCCAAATAGAAAAATCATTGGCACTTTTTCACTTAAAGACGGCGGCATCAGCTTAATGAATCTAGTTAGGTAAACTCTGTATCGATGAATTTGAGCTACAATCTAACTTTTTCCTCCGAAAAATAGAATAGCATGATTTTTTAGTGAAAAACAAAATCTCTGAATAAATAGTTGTTTGCATTTGTTTAGCGAAAGCGAAGTACCACAACGTGAGCTCTGGGTGGTTTTGGAGGTGGAGAGACATGTTCCAGTTCGGACGCTGTCTATTCTGGAACTCACTGTACGTCTTCTGTCTGGTGATTCCTTTTGTCTCTCAAGTCAGCTTCAAGGCCATTGTGTATCCAAACAAGTTCAGCATGGGCTACAAAATGGGAGTGTCAGACGGGTTGCTCTACGCCGGCAAGAAGGTCCACAGTATGATCTCGAGGATCCACTCGCTTCACAGGAATATATCCAAGTCCAGGGCCAAGTTCGAAGCCACACCCGACCGCGGATTGCTGGGAAAGAACATAACGAGGCCGTTCAATTTGTTCTGGAACTACATCTGCAAGGGTGAGTCGCTTTTTAAAGTCTTCTTAATCTCGCGAAAAGAGTGTCAAATTGAGGAAAAGATGAAAATGAAAAATTAATTAATTCGGACAAAAGGTGGGTGGGTGGCGTGGCACGCTTACAGAAACAGAATAGGAAACCGCATCCAAAAATAAAGTTGAGTTATAGCAGCAGGAAAGAAAGGGAAAGTAAAGACGGGAATAAAGAGGATCAAACAGTCTAAGACACAAAATAACACGGGGCAAGTGAGGACATGTAGGAAGTTATAAGATGTTTGCAATCTATCTATACTATATTTAAATACGCGCGACAGCTATTTCCCATGTTTAAGCACAATACTTCTGCATTTTAACGAAAGATTTTTTTCAAGTTTAAGCTATATCATATATTGCTGTTTAAGAAATTTTTTCGATGAACTTTCCGCAAGGTCATTAATTTTTCAGCAATTTTCGAGGTCAAATTAAGTCCTGCTTTTTCATCTGCTTTTTCCTTCCAGAACTTTGAGGATCTCATTCCTGTTGTTGGATAGTGTGAGGGTACTCTCAGGGGTTGCGAATCTTGCCTCCAAATATAGCTGCTCAAATCCTTGTAGTTTTCGAGATTCGAATAAATTTGATTTTTTTTTCTTCAAAATTTGAATTTCCTAACCTGTAGTTGGGGGATTTCAGAGTAATCTCAGGGGTTGCGACTTCGGCCTCCAATTAAGGTTGCCCAATTTTTTTTAGCTTAAGAGATACGAGTATTTTCGTGATTTTTTCGCAAATTTTCAGAAAACTCAAATTACAATAATTTACAAAAGTGAAATTCCCAACCATTTAGTTGTGTGCTGTCAGAGTACTGTCAAAGATTGCGAAAATTACCTTCAAATAAGACTGCTCAAAACTTGGTAGTTTTAGAGATGTGACATTTTTTCTGGTTTTCAAAAAAAAATTGTTTTATAGAAAACTTAAGGTTGAAGTTTCTCAAAATTCAAAATTTGAGTTTCCCAACGATGTAGTTGGGTACTATAAGAGTACTCCCAGGAGTTGCAAGTCTAGCGTTCAAATGCGACTGCTCAAATTCTTGTAGTTTCCAAGATGTGACGTTTCCTAGTTCGTTATAATTTTTTTCAAAAAACGTATATAAAACTTACAAAGTTTTATGGTTCTTCAAAATTTGTATAAATAACTTGTATTTACGAACCCTGTAATTGGGTGTTGTCAGAGTACACTCAAAGAATGCAAATCTTATTTCCAATATATTCGGTTTTTATGGGTTGTTAATTCGGAGTACTGGAGGTGCGTTACACGCTAGTAAGTCTTATTTGCTTTCTGTGCGTTTCTTCTTTTTCCTCCTTAGGCGATAAGATGCTGTTCTGATGATGGTAAAAGAGAGTTCGTATGATGGTGATAGTATTAGCGTACGAGTTGTGGGTTTTGGCACTGAGCTTGTCTGCAAGAACTTTATGGAAATGCGAAGCTTCTTCACCAGTGGCACCGTTCGTGCTCAAGACTAAAGGGTTGAAGCTACCGTTCTCTGTTTCACGCGCGCGCTAGTTTTACTCAGTTTTCTTGCAGGTTTCGTGAGTCTGAGTACCGTTTTCAGAGGCTTTTTGAGGCTAGTGCTGCAATTCGGGTGTGTTATCTGTATGTCGAAGAAAGGCCTTTGCAACGGGCGCCATTTTCTTCGGAGTTCGAGTGTGGGAGAGTGTCTGCGCCTGATGTTGGCTGAAGCATTGGCTCTATCACAATGTCTTTACAAACATTTGTAAGCAGCTCTGCCTCCACATCCTGCACAGCCTTGTGCCTCATGATAAGGAAGCCTCCTAGCTGGTCATTGCTATTTTCTTTGCCTTATTCACAAAAGCGTGGTAGACCTTTGATTGGCCAGTTATATCTTAAAATTATGGCATCGCGGAACTTCTCTTTGTTGAAATACATATCGTGATCTTTCGATGATAGTGTGGTTAGCCGTGTAGATGTGCCTTTTGTTTGGAGGAATTCGAGCTGGCGTTTACTTCTTTTGTCTATTTTTCCCAGGATATCATCATGGTCATCTTCAGATTGGAGAGTGTTTCGTTTTCTAATTTCAGGTCTATTTACCATCAGTGTTGGTCCTTTAATAACACTACGTTTTAAACATGTTTTAAACACTGTTTAAAACGTCGGTCAGAAATAGCGTGTTATTTTCTCGTGTCATAAATGACGTCATAACAAACCGGCCTCCGATATGTGCTTGAGATTACTTGCACTTGTTCCCACCTCGGCCGGCCTCGAAATAGTTTTCTCGACGATGGGAATGGTTGAAGACGAAAAAAGAAACAACTTGCACAGTGCAAAAACTGCAAAACTTCCATTTTGTATGCGTGCTCTTAATGATTGAATTTCATTAATGAACGTTTTTGCTCAGTTTTTAATTTTGACATTTTAAACATTAATGACGTTATAAACGTTTAAAACGTTTTAAACGTCCTTTTTCCAAAACTGACATAAATTGACCAACACTGTTTACCATGTTTTCTATGTATGGTTCCCCCAAGATTATAGCGATTTGAAGGCCATTTGTCAGATGTGTTGTCTGTTGTTGACATATTAGTCTGGTTATAAATGTTCAAGCCTCCAAATCTGACTGGGAGGGCAATTATATTTCCCATATCATCTTAGACGATTCTACAGCAGGAATTCCCGGATTTGTTGTGCCACAGGTTCCAATATCTCATCCAGGCTGCGACGGTTCTCATCAAATAGTTCCATCCGCTCAGGAGAGAGAACACAGCTATAAACTACGTAACTCAAGTGTGGTTCAGATTTGGACATTTTCGATAGCATGCGGATCTGTTCCATCAAAACATCCATTTTGTCTTGAATGAATTATTTACGTGCTTGGATATTTCCAATTACAGTCCCGAGATGTTCTTTTCCTCCAAAAATTGTTGATGTTCGACGTCGCAAAGACAACGTTGGCTTTGATGGCAAGTTCTTCGGTTTCTGCAATGAGCCGAAAGTTTGAAGCTTTTGGAAAAAATTTTAAATTTCGGCCGAGGTGGTTCAGCTGATCCCACCAGTTCTGAACACTGATGAGTTCTTCTAGTGCTGCTGCAGCGTCCGCGAACCATTCTTGGATTAGGTTGTTCCTTTCGAGTTTGTCCATCAAAGGATTCATGCCGATAGCATAGAAGGCTGTTGCCATATTGTCTCCCTGTGTTGTGCCTTCTCGTGCGAGCATTTCCGTTCCTCTTCCCAAAAACAATCGAGCTGGTTCTCGATAGGTATTGATCAAATAGTTGTGTCAGCTATTTTCGGGCAAGTGAAGCGCTAGTTGTGTATTGATAGATAACGCTTCATGTTTTGAAGGTGTTCGTTGCATCCATTTGTAGCTTGCACTCGGTTGATTCTAGTTCAGAAGTTTTGATTGCGGCGCGTGTGAATAGCAGCTTTGACTCCGCCGTGTTGACCGGTGGTATGCCTTGCATTTTCTCCGCCAGGTGTGCTTCTCTGCTGTTGGGATCGAGCTCATAAAGTTTTTGCACAATAGTGTTATTCGGATCGGGTTGCATGCAGATGGGTTTTGTTCAAGTAACTTCATTGCATTTATGAGTCTGTCTTCTAGAACAAGCTTGGTGAATGTTTTGCTGCTGTTTGCTAGGGCTTCATTGAACATCAAGTCGATTTCTCTTTTCTTCCACGAGGCTTGAAGTTTCTCCAAGTATTTGGAGAAATCTGACGAGGAGGGCAATTATATTTCGCACGTCATCTGAGATGGTTTACTTCAACAGTTTGCAGGAATTCTCGGATTTGTTGTTCGAGAGGTTCCAATGTCGCATCTAGGTTGACCAAGGTTCTCATCAAATAGTTCTATCTGTTCTGGAGAATACGGCTATAAACTACGTAACTCAGGTGTGGCTCAGATTTGGTCATTTTCGATAGCATGCGGATCTGTTCCATCCAAACATCCATTTTGTCTTGGTTGAATTCTTTGCGTGCTTGGATATTTCCAATTGCAGTCCCGAGATGTATTTGTCCCGCTCATGTAAAGTTGATGTTCGAGCTCGCGTAGACAGCTTAGGCTTTGATGGCAACTTCTGTTTTTGCAGTGAGCCAACACTTTGACGCTTTTGAAAAATATACACATTTGGGGACTATGTGGTTTAGCTGATCCCACCAGTTCTTAACACTGATGAGTTCTTCTAGTGCTGCTGCATCTACGGCGAATCATTCTTGGATTAGGTTATTCATTTCGAGTTTATCATCATAGGATTCATGCCGATAGCATAGAAGGCTGTTGCCATATTGTCTCCCTGCGTTGTGCCTTCTCCTGAGAGTATTTTGGCTCCGCTTCCCAAAAACAATCGAGCTGGTTCTCGATAGGTATTGATCAAATAGTTCTGTCAGCTATTTTCGGGCAAGTGAAGCGCTATCTTTTTGAAGAGGTTCGTTGCATCCGTTTGCAGCATGCACTCGGTTGATTCTAGTTCAGAAGTTTTGATTGCGGCGTGAATAGCAGCTTCGACTCCACTGTTAACCTGTGGTATGCCTAGCATTTTCCGCCAAGTGTGCTTCTCTGCTGTTGGGATAGAGCTCTTAAAGTTTTCATCCAACAGTCTCATTCGGATCGAGGTTGCCTGTAGATGGGTTTTGTTCAAGAAATTTCATTGCATTTGTGAGTCTGCCTTCGAAAACAAGCTTGGTGACTGTTTTGCTGCTGTTTGCTAGGGCTTCTTTGAACATCAAGTCGATTTCTCTTTTTCTTCCACCAGGCTTGGCATTTCTCCAAGTATTTCCCATGGTCTCTTGCTTTGGACCTTTTATGAGGTTTCTGCATCATTAGCATTATGAAGGCGTGGAACATTTTGATAGCGTGATCCTGAAGTAACGAACTTTTCGTGAAAAACTGGAGAGTGCGATTGTTGCAACGCAAAAGACCCGAGGGGCTATAGCGGCATTTGACCGTTTTTTACTGTTTTTTTGGTTCTAATTCGGTTCAGCCTTGATTAAGGCTGACCGTCAAAAAGAGCAATTTGTCTCAAGGACTCAAGGACAATAAATTATAATCGGAGCTGATTATTGGTGTTATATGATCTTATGTTTTGGATGAAAATTATCAAAATTCCCGATAATACGAATTTATTCTTGATTTTTTTCGACTTCAAATTCATCTTACGGAGGTTGAGTGCGCACAGCGATCGGCTTCTTCTAGGATATTGTTGCGTACCTTACCATGAGGGAGTTCGAAGATGTTCTTTCTCATGTGTACTGCTGTCTCATTAATGAGATTCATTTTATCAATAAAGGTGACCATTGATCTTTGTCCATTTGATGAACATAAAGTATGAACATAAAGTTGACCTTTGGTTGTCGTGCGTTCCGGTATTTGTGCAACTGTGATAACTGGGGAAGCCGAAATTGTCATTTGGGCCAACACTTGCGTTAAGCCCGAGGGTTCTGTTGTCACAGTTTCATTTGGATCCTCTTCATAGGCTCTGTATGTCCAAGCCTGAATTTTATCGATTCATCTTCTGTCAGGGCGACCATTTTTCAGCCAGGTGGCGCTCCAGTGATTGACATATGAGTCTTTGTAGTTCATAGTGTTTCTTTTGCCATTCTTCCCCCATTTGACAATGGAGTGGGTGCCCTGAATATCCTCAGTGTAATATGCGCCATCAGGAAGGTTGGACTGTGTGTCTGGATGAGTTTGTGTCATTACAAGTTTGAAACTATTTATTACGTTTATCACGCCAATTAAACAGATCCTTTCGACAAGCATTCTAGTTTTTAATCACTCAATTTTGAGTTAGCGTTTTAAATCACTGCATTATTTAAATTTTTTGAGCTTCTATGTTCTCTTTAGTCTGATTGATGTCTGAAAAGAGGTATATTTTGAAGAGAATCTGCCCGTCATTGTAAATCTTCTGTTTTTCAGGCCTCGTGGGAACTACGATGTTCATCCTCTTCTATCCTTTTGTGAACACACTTCTATCCACTCTCTCTATCCTGGTGGGAATCACAACTCCCCTTTGGCTCCCCTTTGCCATGATAGTCTACTACCTCATCCAAATTCTGATCGCCGACTTCAAAAGACCCGGATACTCAGAGGGCTTCCGATTCTTCTATCTGTTTCACATCTTCATCTACAAGTTCTTCATTTTGGGATTTTGTCAGCCTGTTTCGTGTGTGTTTCTTACATTTGTAGGCTACCCTCTCACTGCGTTGGTTCTCTGCGTGCTTGGATCTCTGCAGATCTGCATCAGGAGCTCCTATGATTTCGTCATCTATCATCTCTTCTTGAAGGTAAGAGTCCTTAATCACATGAATGCCTGGTAATTGAGTACAATGTCTGTCACGTGAATATCAACGAATACGATTGAAAATAGATGACGTTTGGCTATAGTGATTGGTCCAGCTGCTCTTCCTTCAGCCACATATTGATTTCCAGCTGGCACACAATTTTTTCTCAAGTGGAGGGTTCGAAACCCAGTAAGGAATAATTTTTCTAAGAGCAGCCAGAGAATGTAAGCTTTTAACTAGCGTGTGTGAAGTTGGAAATGGAATGACTTGGAAGGCTTAGTGTTGCATTTCAGAGGATTGCACGTGTTCCGGCAACTAACAGTTTTGCTGCCAAGAAGATCGCTGGACCGGGCATGGCGTCCGACTTCTTCCTCCAGATGGACCCAGAACATGCTCTGGTCCCAGTATTCTACTGGGTTGACACACTAATTCTGGACACGTGGCGGCAGCTACACAAACGGCAGATTGGAGAACCGAAGCAGATTTACAACAAGTAAGCGCCGCTATTTTTCGTCTAATAGTTATATAGCAGTTCCTCTAAAGACATTATTAATTACGTGATTTGAAAAATGCTTAATTACACTACAGTTAAACAACATGAACTTTTCTAAGTTCTACAGTTGGTAATGTGGAGCAAAAGAAGCCCCAGGAACTTTCGGTAGAATAGGAGCAATAGTTGGCTAGAGAGTTATCTGAATGTCTTGAAGCTTACTTGGGAGACATTTAGACCTGAATTTTGGAGCAGCAGTTTCACGTATGTGCGATAATGTTTGAAAGTTGAAGAGGAAAAACTTCCGTTATTTGATGGAACGAATGTTTTCGCTGTTACAGTTTTCTGAAAACGGTATGCAGCTATGTGTATCATGTTTTAGGTTTTTCGATCAATTGTTCGAACCATTCTCAGCGATAGTGAGTGGTGGTGGGGGCAATGGACAGAAAAGACATCAGTTCTACTCACAGCTGCTCAAAGAGGAATCCGAGCATACTGACCGACTGAATAAGGTGTACGGAAGTGCGATTAACAATCTGCACATCCATATTCCTAACAAGAACCTCATAAGACTTCGTGCACAAGACCTAGATAAGCTAATCATGATGACAACTCAGTACCTGTCGAACGTAATCACTGAAAGCCTCTTTCCTTTCCTCGACGACAAGAAGTCTCTGAATGGGTTCTGGAAGTCGCGTGAAATCAAAAAAGACGACTGGGTCTCGTTGGCTCGGCACGTGTTGACCGAAGTCTACTCGGATCCGTTTATGGTGCCCCTGGAGGAAACAGATGTGAACTGTGCGTTCAAACTGAAAGTGGAGGAGTTGACCCTTTCCAGTTATCTGGAGGGAGTGATCAGCACTGAAATCGCAGACCCCCTCGAAGCTCACTCAGTAACGTTCAAAAGACTGTCAAACAACATACACGTGACTCGACCGCGTCAAAGCATCGAGAACATCGACAAACTCAGGCTTCATTCGCATCTGTTCAACTACTCCAATATATGCGCGCAGCATCTGGCTGAGAAATACCCTCTGCTAGCCAATAAAAGTGACAGATTGGTGGCGCATATCTGGAAGGAGCTGGGAGCAAGTGGGGTGGACTTGGAGTACGCGGCGGCCAAACAGAAGAGAATCGCGGAGCAAGAAATCCCAGGACTGCACGGGGACACAGCATCGTCGACAGTACCAATTCAAATGGAAAGTGTAACCGAAACTTAAAACTGAATTAGAATTGCATGCTGTTCAGAAATTGTACAGGGTGATATTAAAGAAATTTGTTTAGTTAGTTTCGAAACAATGATTAAGTCCAGTAAATAATGACAAAGATTTTGATATTAGCTTCAACCAAACGTGTTTTGTTTATGAAATCAAATCCACTTTTTTAAATTTAAAAGAAGTTTTATCAGACGCATAAGCGTGCGAGTGTAGTGTTTTACGATTTGACATTTTTTCCAACTACATTCCAGCTCATTTTAGTGCAAAGTCTCTCAAAGTGCATCTTTGCTGTCTGATATAAAAGAATAAAGTATGAAATCAGTATAGACACCTTGGCTAGGTAGTAACAAGCCGGGACTATTATTCTGACCGTCTGGGTTCAAATCCTGTCCTCTCGAAGGTTTTTAAAGTTTGAGAGGACACAATTTGTAGACTTTCACAATTTGTAGACTTTTTAGGTCTTGTGTTTTTTTTTTGTTTTTAAAAGGATAAAAGCACGCTTAGGTTTGATTTACCGCAGTTTGACTTTCATTTTTTTAATGTTCGATTTAAAATCATTTGCTGAAAGGAATACAAAACTGCAAATGATGCGAAAAGCGTGATTAAGTTCCAGTCTCAAAATTGGACTTTAATTTACCTGCGCAATAAAAATTTAGTTATCTTGATGTTGATTACTTCTATTTAAAAAAGGGGGTCAGTCAGGAATTGTTTTTTTTTGAAATTCAGAGTTTTTTTCACTGTCCTTGAGTGCATTGACTCTTGAGCAACTGTCTGTTAGCTATATTTTTTCCGAAGCTGGGGGAGATGAACCAGCAATTGGGGGGGGGGGGGGGGGGGGGTTGGTTTTAATCGTGAAAATCTTTTCCTTTAAGTCATGAAGTTAGCCTTTTTCCATATTAAGCTAAGCCTCTGTGTAACGTATTCAGTTCAAAATTGGAAGAACATGAGTTGGAAGCATTGAAACAATAACTGTTAATGAACGAATGAAACCCTTATTTAAGTTTTTTTCTAGCTTTCTTATCAGGTAAAAGGATTAGTGGTTGACGCTTCAAAATTGGAAGAACATTAGTCCGCAGTTTGGCTCATTGCTTCTCCAGGTTCACTTGAAATCCATGTGCCAAGAGGTACAGCACAGAGCTCTCCGGTAGTCAAAGTGCATTTGACACGAAGAACGTGAACTACTTTCAGCTTTGAAAGTGGCTTCATTTGTAAACCTGCAAACGGAATGATTAAATCACTCATTGATCCGGTTTTATCCACTTGGGTTAGTTTTACCTAAGAAGTGTTAATTTATTTAAAGTTTAAAAGTTTTTTCTAGGTCAAATATGTTTTTGATTCTACATCTTGAAAATGTTCCAAGAAGTGTCATTTTTTGGTGTCTTTTAGTTTGTTGAAATTTCCGACTTTCAGGTGTCTTTTTCTGCTCATGATTTTTCTTGTTCTGTTTTTGTCTCTGGTAAGAGGATTTTTTATAAGGCCTGGTGAATTAATTAGTATTTAATTAAAGAATAAAATCAAGTTTTTCTTCTTTTGAATTCTTGATGGTGTTAAAATATAGACAGAAAATCGACGAGAAAACCTTTTCTGGCTTAGTAATCTGACACACGACTTCGAACAGGTGTGGATCCAGAGTTGTCTCGAGGGTGGGTTGGATTTTTAAAAAATTCTGTCGACTTTTTTTTAGAACGACCGAAGTGATTCTCCGAGCACTAAACAGAACCTGTATTGGCCAAATTTTCTGCGTCGCATGCAAGAATTTGAATAAAAAACAAGCCACTTTTTGGAAAATCTTGACCAAAAAATGCGCTTTATGCCGCTGAAGCTTTAAAAAATGAAGCCATTTATCTATGAAAGAAAGGGACAACAAACGAGCTTTTCACTTGACATGTAACTTTTTTGGTTAATTTTGTGGGCTGAGAATTTTGGTCACCCGCTTGCATTGCGCGTAGATCCTAAAATAGCTAATAATAGCGTCACGAAAAAATTGACAAAGTTTGCATCTGTTGGATATATTTCATTAGATATAGCTGTTCAATTTGTGCCTCGAAGTATAGTTTCAGCTATTTAGTTTCAGCTATTTGAGTCTATTTATTTCTTTCATCTTATTTCTTTATTTGACGAGGATGTTGATTTGAAAATTTTGTCCTACTGATTGTTAAAACAAACTGTTAAACACCCTTGTTCATAGCTTGAGATTTATCAGAATGACTGACTTTACTAATGGAGAGGTGGCAATTATCACTGGAGCTAGCTCAGGTTTTGGGGCTCAAGCAGCCGTTAAGTTTTGCGAACTGGGAGTTGACAAATTGTGTTTGACCGGCCGAGACTTGGAAGCCCTAAGAGAGACGCAAAGGTTGTGTATTGAGAGGTCAAACGAGAAATTGAAGGAAGAGGATCTACTTATTGTAACTGGTGCGTTCTCAAAGTAATTTTTTCCAATCAAAAAGAGTAGTTACGTTTGTTAATTAGGATAGTCTTAAGCGATGAAACTGATTTACTTCGTATACCCGAGCTAAATGGAGCAGAGACCATTCAGCCACAGACAATTCGGCCAATTTAGATTAAAAGACTAGATAAAAGAAAAATTAAAACTTCTAATTAGATTAGAATCAGAAGGCTTTCAACACTAATAAAATGTGAAACATCCAAAAACTAATTTCAAAGATCAAAACAAAGTTGCTATGCATAATTTTCAGGATATATGTACATTAAAGGTACAAAATTTTAAATATTTCTGTATATGGTCTCTATTCTAGTTTTTTTGCGTTTTGAACGAGTTTTTCATTGCATTCTTGCCTTGTTCGTACGTATCCCAATGCATTGTTCGTACGAGGTTCTCCGCTGAGCATCCGATTAAAAACGTTCCAATCGGCAAAGTCAAACTTTGGTTTGACGCGTCTATTTCCTCGACAGGCGCCAATATAATTTCGAAGAGACGTTGAGTAACTCGGTATTGTCGGCCCTACATAGAGGCAAGTCCGTTTGGGCGTTGAAGGCAATCTGTCAGGGAGCGTTTCCAGTGTTTGTGGCTCTTTCTCGAATTTCATCAGCAAACTTTCTAGCTTGGAGTTTTCGAGGGGCTCGATAATTGAGCGTGATCGTATTTTAAGGTGAACTTTTGCTGTTCGTCCAAATAACTCACTGCTCTACTAATTCCGAAAGTACATAGCCATTTATTGAGGCCGTTCTTAAGTTGGTTTTTTTTTCACGGTATCTATAACCATCAAGACAAAGTTGTTTTTCCGCGTTCAGATAACACGAATACAATCTTATACGTCAAATTTTGCTTAAAATGAGTGAATGAGAGTGATTCAGGTACTAATCAATCATTTTTTCAAGCTAGTTACTAAAGAAAATTGATCAATGTTACTTGTGTCAATGGACCAGCTAATTGCAAAAAGTAGGCTTTAAACTCGATACTGGTTTCTGGTTGGACAGTACTTAAATTGCAATTAGTTTATCTTTCAAAGAAGTTAAAGTTTCAAATTAGTTTCAACCAGCCAGTAAAATTTTCAATTTCTGGTCTGCTTTTTGTGTAAAATGGTCAACTTTCAAGTATATAGCAGTTTTGTGTTGAGTTTGATTTTTATTGGAAACAAAATGATTTATAAAATTTTATGCTTAATTAATTTTGGTTCTCTTATTTTTATTTGTTTTTGTTTAATTGAAGGGAATTAATTATAAATCGTCTAATCAAAGTTTTGATGTTTTGCCGCCTGTGAAAAAATTTAGCGTGCACGTTTTAAACTTTTAAAACCGTCTCAATAGTTTTTGACCCAGTTGTCTCACTTAATTTGACTAAATAGTCTGAATTTGACCTTGGCTGAATTGTCTCTGACCGAATTGTCTGAATGCGAAGCTAAATAACAAATAAATCTACACAGCTTCAACTGACTAAAAAATCATCTAATTTGAAAGCTACAAATAAAAAATCATCTGGCTACACGTCTGATAATTCCCCCGAACTTAGGACTTTAAGGTTTTGCATTTTTTCTAAATCTTTTTTCATTAGATAACATTTTGAACTTCTCTTTTGTTTAAGCTGACTAACAAGTATTTGATTTTTTTTTCGAAATATTTCATAATCTCATTAAAAGTTGACTTTAAACAAAAAAACATGGTTTTGAGAACAAAATGAAAGTTATCGGCTTCGACTGATTGGAGCTGCTTCGAAAAATTCAAATAAAACGAGTTTCTTATAATTTAAACGTTGTTGTTGTTTGAGGTTGTTGTTGTTTGGTCGTGCTGCCAATTTTTAAATCAAGTTGCGCGCAATATTTATGCATGTGTTGTTTTTCGTTCAGACTAGATTTTCAGTGTTTTTGAACAAAAATTTTAGAAATCTGAAAAATATAAAAAAATATAAACAACTTGATTCTAACTTTTACACCGTGAAGCGTTGGTGGGTTTAGAAGTTGAAATTTTTCGACGAGTAAAGTGTGCAGCATTTCCATTTAGCGTGCATTTCCAAAATTATCTGGCTTTAAAAATTCGTCTGTGAATTTGTTATTTTCTTTTCAGTTTTTTGAAAAACTTGTCGACATTGCTGACCAATTATTCAGTTCGACATTTCAAAGCACAATCAGGATTTCATTCTAACAAGTAAAAACTTGTTTTGTGTTGAAAATAAGATGTAATTGTTTCGAGGTTTGAAGAAAATCACAAAAAATTATGCACGCACCGTTTTTTTTCTTCTGTCAAATTTCGACTGTTTTGTTTAGGTTTTTTGAGAGAATTTGCTTTATACAATCTAAAAGTTTCTGGATGCTCTGTGCTCAAAAGACGACATTCATTTGTGAATGCCGTGAGCTCTAAAAAGACATTTTTCGAATAGAGGACTCAAATTGCGCTTTCCGAAAATGTAATGCAAGTAACATGACTCTCGCGAATGATATATTCCCAGCTTAAAAATTCTGGAAGTGTCCGCATCTTGCTGTCAGCAAAAAAAAATCAAATGTTTCTGAAACAATAAACAGTTTTCAATTAAACTTACTGATGATAACGCCTGCAATGAACAAGCGTTATCGAACCGGAATATAGACTTTTTCATGCTAACCACTTGATTAACAGAATCAGTTGTATCTTGGTTCATAATGATTTCAAACGTCGTTGGGTATCCGGCACTTAGCCTGGAGGCAAAGAAAACACCTGGGATGGCAAAGACCGTGGGTTCGAGTCTGAGCAAGAACAGTTTTTTTTCAATTTGGAATCATTCCTTTGCAAAAAATGTCGGTCTATAGTTTGTCTGCTTATGTTTTGTCGGGTTATTTGCCACATCATAAAATTGATTTTTAACGCAATTTTCAAAGTAATTGCTCTCAGTTTTTTTATTACTCCAGCGTATTTGAAACTTTCTAGCCTTGGCTTGGTATATTTTGCTGTTTTATTCGCTTAAAAACTTTATTCGGCTTAAATGATTTGGGCTCATATTTTTATATTTCATTGGCTTAGTGACCTAAATTGGGGTCATTTCAAAAGTAGCATGAGTATTATGCTTTATTCCGGATCGCACTAAATGCTAAAACTCTTAGAATAAAATTTATAAGAGTGTTTCTTGACAACAACTATATTTGCCGTTCTACGGGAAAGTTTCGTCGGCTCAGTTGCCGCTTGTTATTTTTTTTTGAATTTTGATATCTATTTTTTTGGGCTGAGTGGCTTTGTTTTCCTGTTAGCTTGCACTGCTATTTTTATGCTGTATCGGAAGTGGTGCGAAATTCAGCTTTGCCTCTATGGGTGTCTTGAACGTTTTGAGACGTTTTGAAAATTTTGAGACGTTTTGAAAATGTAGGTGACATTACGGACGAGTTAGTCTTGAAAAGCATAGTGGACAAAACGCTGGAAACATTTGGCCGAATCGATATCTTGATTAACAACGCGGGAATCTTCAAATCGGGTGGTTTCGAGTGGGCACCGGTAGCGATTTTTGATGAAATTATGGACACTAACGTGCGCTCTATGGTTGTTCTAACTCAGTTGTGCATCTCGCATTTGAAAAAGACGAAAGGAAGCATTGTTAATGTCTCTTCGGTAAACGGATTTCGCCCGTTTGTAAATGACGGGTATTATTGTATGAGCAAAGCAGCGGTGGATATGTTCACTAAATGTCTGGCACTAGAACTAGCTCCGGATGGTGTGCGAGTAAATGCAGTGAATCCGGGCGTCATTCTCACTAACATCCACACAAGAGGAGGCATGGATGATAGTCAGTATAGAGAGTTCCTGGATCGATCGAAACAGACACACCCACTTGGAAGAGTGGGCGAAACAGAAGAAGTGGCTAATGTGATCGCATTCCTAGTCAGTAGGCGAGCCAGCTTCATCACCGGAAGTTTGACTCCTATTGACGGCGGAAGGAATTGCGTGTGTCCTAGATGAAGCTGCTGTCAATGACATACTTGAACTTGAGAAATATATCGCTCACAGTTCATCTTAACAAAAGAAAATTATCAATTTGTGCTTCGTTGCTTAGCTATGAGGACACTTAAAAAAAACATTTTTTCTAAAAAGGTTCCTTCTATAAATTTTCTTTCGCCAATCGTTTGCTGGAATATATATAACACTGTGTCTACCGATTCACAAGGACACTATTCATGGATTGAAACATCTGGTCATCATGTTTATTTGTTACAAAAGTATCTGACGCCATAATATTCGTTTTTTACAAATGCCCATCAGTTGTCTCCGTCAATCTTATACTGGATTGTTTGAACTTAAAAACCTTGGATAGTTGTCATTACACCTGCAAAAGCAAGTGCCTTGTCATCGGGAACTAGACTTTTTTCCCCATAAACAACTTTTACAAATGATCAACTTGCTTGCTTATTAAATCCTAACAACGTCAAGGTTCCTTCGCACTTGGTATAGAAGTATAGAGGTTCCGTCGCCTTGGCATCTTGAGCTCCGGCGTTCGAATCCCGGTCGGACCATGTTTTTTTTCAGTATGTAAGCAATTGAAAAATTTTTTAGGTGAAAATTGTTTCGTGGGACATTTGTTTATCTCCTCAACCTTTATTCTCCTCAAGCTTTTTTGCCACATCACAAATTTTTTTTCGGTGAAAACAAGTATCATGGTATCATGCTCATTATAGTTTCAGGGAGACTTTCACAAAGTTTTTCATCAAATAATTTTTCCGGCTTAACTGATGTCTGCTCAAACATGGAATGGTTGGTTTTGTTTCCGCTTCGAAATTATTGTTGCGTTGCTAATTTAAAATTCAGATGTCTTGCTTTGTTTGTTTGCCTACAAGTTCTTTTTGTTGAAAACGAATATTATGAAATTTTAGGGGTTTGGAGTTTTAATTTCATTTTTTTTGAGACGCTTTGAAATTTTTTAAACTTTTTGCAAAAAATTTTAGTTTTTATCAAAAATTATTCTAATGATTTTCGAAAAAGTAGTATCAATGGAGCTACTGCCTGCCCTGTGTGTCTGCATACTTCCCTAGTCTCTTTTTAGTTTATCCCTCTGTCTACAGCTTTCAAAAAATCTTTGTGGGTAATATTCTTTTCCTTTTCAGGGATTCGACCCCATGCGGAACCCCATGCAGTACTGGGGAGAGCGCAGAAAAAAATCTAATTGCTCTTTAAAAATCTTGAATCCTTCCCCGTCCGCAAGGATTCAAGGACTACCTAAAGAATCCGCCCTTTGGTAACATCAAACACAGATTTTCGGCAGACCGTCCCAAAAAACCTCTTCTGAGGTGTTAAAAGTGTCATTCAGCATCAGACATTTTTGTCGAATTAGTAGCTTCTTAGCGTTTACAAAGAAACTAAAAAACTTGACTCAAAAATTTTCGAACAAGCCTAGAACCGCCCTGCATGTTTCCACAAAAGAGAGTTGACTTATTTAAGGTAGATTTTTGAAGGTCATTATTTTTTTTAAAAAATTGGGAATAGCCAATCACAATAGAAGACTTTCAACCAGCTGTTGTTTTGATTAAATCTATGATATCAGATTTAGCAGGGTATTTGTCTAGAAAAATCCAAAAATTGGCCAGGAAATCAAACATTTGACTTTTCCGAGAATCATAGCTTTTCAGTAAAAAATTTTGAGCGCTTATGCAGAAAAAATTCACGCAGCCTGAATGTTCGAGTGAAACAAAAATTCAGATTTGGGATTGTAGTTCTCCGGAAATGTCAAAAAACTGTCAAAAAATTAAAACTTGACTTTTCTGAGGGCCATAAGTTTGTCTAAAAAGCCTGGGCGTTGTCGCGTATGCAAAGGAGCTTCCCGCAACCCATTTTTGTATTGAACCTAAAATTTCAAAGCCATGGCCCTCAGAAGTTTCAAGTTTTGATTTTTGACCGTTTTTTGACATCTAATGACGTTTCCGGAGAACTACACTCCCAAATCTGAGTTTTTTGTTTCACTCAAATATTCAGGCTGCGTGAATTTTTTCTGCATAAACGTTCCAAATTTTCCACTGAAAATCTATGATTCTCGGAAATGTGAAATGTTTGATTTCCTGGCCAATTTTTGGACTTTTCTTGATAAATACCCTGCTAAATCTGACATTATAGATTTAATCAAAACAACAGCTGGTTAAAAATCTACCTTTATAATTGGCTTTTCCCAGTTTGTTTTAAAAAATAATGGCCTTCAAAAATCTACTTTAAATAAGTCAACTCTCTTATGTGAAAAAATGCAAGGCGGTTCTAGGATTGTTGCAAATATTTTGGAGTCAAGTCTTTTAGTTTCTCTCTAAACGCTAAAAAGACACTATTTCGACAAAAAATATCTGATGCAGAATGGCATTTTGTACCACTAAGAAAATCGGTGTTTGATGTTGTTACCAAAGGGTGGATTCTCAAGGTAGCCATTGAATCCTTGTGGATGGGGATGGATTTAAGATTTTTAAAGATCGATCAGATTGATTTTTCGCGCTCTCCCAATTACTATAAAGACCCTATATTAACCAAATTTTCTGCGCAACAAGCAAATTATTGAAAAAAAAAAACTGGCCGAAAAAGCGTTTTAGCAGCTTTTTAGAAAATTTGCGGAGGACATGCTGAGATAAAATGCGGTACTTTTCCCTATTTTCACTTTTACAGTTTCTTTTGTTTCTTAAATACGCTGATTGCTTTGATTCTAAAATTTTTGAAGATATAAGTCATTTCAGTATCACAATCAGATTGATTTCATGCTCACAGATGAACTCTTCTTGCTCCTAGTCACTGCTGCTGGACTCATCATGGAGTATCTCTGAATTGTGTCGGCGATATTTCCAAAGTCAGCGTCACCTATCAACATAGATCACAAAATATCAGCATCAACAATTTGAACCTTTAACACAACAGTTTTTGATGATAGCCCCAACTAACTCATGAAAAACATTAAGTTGAAATTCTGAAACTTGAAATTGTCATGTTCTATCAATTTTTCAGAAGTACGTGAGTTGTTTGAGCATTAATTGTTTAGTAATTAATATTCAGTAAAAATATGCCAAACTTCAATGCATTCGAACTACAAGCACAAAATTTTTCAATGTCAACGCCAAAAAGTTAGATATTTATATTAGTTAGAGACGGTAAGAAATCGGGAGCCTGATAATGTTTTCTAGCGTTTACCTTTCTTAGTGGAGTCTGAACTGTCGGCGTGATCGCCTTCTTTGTAGTAGTAGGTGAAGTTTGAAACTATGATCGGGACAGGGAGCGACAGGGTCAGGATTCCCACCAGGGCACACGCAGAACCCACTGTCAAATCGGAATCATCAATCGTACAAATACATTAGAAAAGTGAACCCCATATAAATCATAAAAAAGGGTGCTTTATCTGTTATATCTGTTATTTTCATGGTACACAAGGATGCTTAAATGGTGACTTAAATTACTCAAGTGTAAACTTAAGCTTAACTGAAGCGAGAAAAAACTGAGGGTATCAGGGCGAAGCCCTGGAGCAGTAATAACATGAAAAAATAAGATGTATTAAATGAAAATAAAAACAAATCATTTTTTTTGTGAAAAACATCCACGCAGATGCCATATAAGTACAAAGTGATAGAAATGGCAATCTTTAAACGCCCATAACTTTACAAAAAATGATCACAGGTAAAATAACTTGTCAAATTAAAGCTCAAGACAACAATACCCTTTGAATAGCTTAAAGATAGCCTATGTTTTCAATTTGGAACAATTAACGCGCAATTTATATCGTGCTATTAACGCGTAAGCGGAAATTTAATCCGTCGTAGAAATCGTTCAAAAATGGTTCAAGGAATTTGATATGCCACAACTGATTTGTTAATAGGAGCAAAATCTATCATTTTGTACTTAAATATGGCGTGTGAGGTAATGTTTTCTCAATAAAATTTCAAAGGAAAAATCATAATAGTTTTAATTTATTGTTCCGACTTTCGATACGAAAGTAACGGAATATTTGTGCTCGGGGTAGGTTTTTTTTTTTCAGACAAACATCGACTTTTTTTCTAGCCATTTTTGACAGACTTTTTTTATATCATTCAAAAAGTATTGCTGTCCTGAGCTTACATTTGAAAAGATGTTTCACCTGCGCTCATTTTTTGTAAAATTATGGGGTTAAAGGTTGCCATTACGGCCAATTTAAGAAATTAACGCGCGATTTATTTCGCGCTACTAACGCGTAAACGGAGATTTAATCCGTTTTAGAAATCGTTCCAAGTTGGTTGAAAGAAGCCTATGTGCCATAATTGATTTCTTACAAGGAGAAAAATCAATTTTCTTGGTAATTTTTATGGCGTGGGGGTTGATTTTCCTAGAAAAAGTTTCAAGTTTTAGAGTTTTTTTTATGATTCACTTTGTTAATAATGTTTATGTTATTACTGCTCCATAAGCCTTAGAAGGCAGTCGGAACTTTCAGTGCATCACCCTGATACGAGCAGTCTTGTTACATTTTAATTTTTCTTGTTACTACTGCTCGATAGGCCTCAAAAGGCAGTGGGAACTTTCAAGGCTTCGTCTTGATACGAACAGTCTAGTTGTTCCGTCTTTCGATAAGAAAGTAACGGATTATTTGTGCTCGGGCTGGGTTTTTTTCAGACAAATTTCGACTTTTTACCTAGCCTTTTTCGACAGAATTTTTTAAATATCATTCAAAAGGTATTGTTGTCCTGAGCTTAAATTTGAAAAGATATTTTACCTGTGATCATTTTTTGTAAAATTATGGGTGTTTAAAGGGTGCCATTTTGGCCAATATGAGACAATTAACGCGCGATATATTTCGCGCTATTAACGCGTAAGCGGAGAATTAATCTGACTTAGAAATCGTTCCAAATTAGTTGAAAGAAGCCTATTCGCCAAAAATGATTTGTTACATGGAGCGAAATCTATTCTTTTGTAGTTTATATGGCGTGTGGGGGGTTGTTTTTCCAAGAAAAAATTTCAAATTTTAGATTTTTCTTATATGATTCAATTTGTTAATGATATTTATGTTATTACTGCTCCATAAACCTTAAAAGGCAGTGGGAACATTCAAGGCTTTGTCTTGTTACGAGCAGGCCAGTTTTTCCGACTTTCGATACGAAATTAACGGAATATTTGTGCTCGGGCTGGGTTTTTTTCTTCAGACAAATTTTGACTTTTTTACCTAGCCTTTTTTGACGGAATTTTTTATATCATTCAAAATGAATTGTTGTCTTGAGCTTAAATTTGAAAAAATAATTTACCTGTGATTATTTTTTGTAAAGTTATGGGGGTTTAAATGTTGCCATTTTGGCCAATTTGAGACAAATGACGCGCGATGTATTTCGCGCTATTAACGCGTGAGCGGAGAATTAATCCGTCTTAGAAATTGTTCAAAATTGGTTGAAAGAAGCTTATTTGCCATAAATGATTTGTTACAAGGAGCGAAATCTATTCTTTTGTAGTTTATATGGCGTGTGGAGGCATGATTTTCCTAGAAAAATTTTCAAATTTTAGATTTTTTTATATCATTCATTTTGTTAATGACATTTATGTTATTACTGCTCCTTAAACCTTAAAAGGCAGTCGGAAATTTCAGGGCATTGCCTTGATACGATCAGTATTGTTGTTCCGACTTGCGATACGAAAGTAACGGAATATTTGTGCTCGGGGTGGGTTTTTTTTCTTCAGACAAAATTCGACTTTTTAACTAGCCATTTTTGACGAAATTTTTTTTATCATTCCAAAGGTATTGTTGTTCTGAGCTTAAATTTGAAAAGATATTTCACCTGGCCTCATTTTTTGTAAGGTGATGGGGGTTTAAAGATTGCCGTTTTGGCAATTTTGACCAATTTGGGACAATTAACGCGCGATATACTTCGCGCTATTATCGCGTAAGCGGAGACCTAATCCGTGTTAGAAATCTTTCCAAATTGGTTGAACGAAGCTTATTTGCCATAATTGATTTGTTACAAGGAACGAAATCTCCTTTTGTACCTTATATGGCGTGTGGGGGGATGATTTATTTTTAAAAATTTTCAAATTTTAGAAAAAAAATGTTCATTTTATTTTATTTCATTTAATTTTTTTATGTTATCACTGCTCCATAAACCTTGAAAGGCAGTCGTACATTCAGGGCTTCGCCCTGATACGAGCAGTCTTGTTTTTATATGGAACCTAAATGAAAATACAAACGTGTTTTGGCCGTTAAAACGAGTTTCTATTAATAATGCAGGTTTTCAAAATTTATCACTGGTTTCCGCAACTTTCTTCCTCAAGTGGGTAACTTTGTAGCCGAGTTTCATTGATTTGAATTCAAATTAAAAGACATTTGAGCTGCTTAAATTATCGATGCAAAGTTGAGGGAAAATTGACATTGCTCGCAAAATTCAATGATAGTTCTCAAGTCTTAACTCATGAAAAAAAAAGAACAAGCGATTTGTGAAGGGGAATCAAATGGCATCCACCCACTTAATTAAATTGCATACAGGCTCTTTTTCATTCCCCCCTTCCCCCCTCACCTCACCTCACACGAGCATCAATTTTACGGTGTAACGAGTGGTTTTACAAGGTTTTACCATGGCCTTATTATTCCGTATGCCAATTTTCATAACATTCGAATAAGGTGAACAAATTTTTCATTTATAAAATTTTGCAGGTGGGGGGGGGAGGGGGTAAAGGAAAAAGAGCCGGCATCCACCCACCCAATTCTTTGGTATAGGGATCGCAAATGAGAAAAGTGATTTGTGCAGACTTCGACTTATGAGGCCACTGAGTCTCATTAAAACTCATTAAAAATTGCAACCGACAAATGTCCAAGAATTCAGTCAGCTAACCCCCCCGCCACACTTATATAAGCTCACAAATTCATGCTCATGCCCCTGAACAAAGGCTTGAAAATTGCGACGACTGCCCCTTCCAACCAAATAATGATACTCTGGTCAGGTTAATTTTACTTGCTTTTCACACGCAAAATATTTTTTGTTGGGTAAGTTATTTACTGAAAGCCAAATCAGGAGCCTTCACATTCCTCCGGCTCCTGCATTTTTGATAGGTGATTAACTAAGTGTTAGATCCGCTTCAATTTTGATGGCGCTTCAATTTACGTCGACAAAGTGACATAGGTTGAGCAAAATTGAGGTAAAACTTTGTCGCAAGAGGGTAAAAAGGTTGTACCGAAGCATCTATGACAGGAAATCTGACGCGGCTACTTCACAGACAACATACTATTTATGAACAAAAAAGCAAGGGGATAGAAATACGGGGCTTAATTGTAATGGACAAAATTGTTGAAACAATCAATCATTGGTAGGTTTTTGAAGCGTTTTGCCAAATCATGAAATCCACCGTCAAATTGTGACTTCCAACGTCAAAAAATAACAAAATGATTACTCTACCACCTGGTAAATTGAATAATCCAGCAAAAATTAGTGGATTTTGCCTCAATGACCAAAACAACCTCGGCCGCACGCAAAACAAAAATTGCTAATAAATTGTCTGAAATCGACATAGTTTTTGGCTAGCTACAATGCTAGTGTTTAATTCATTTCTCAATTTCAGCAGATTTTCACTTTGAAGGTATTTGGAAACTAAGAATCGGATTCTAAATCAATTCTACCTCAAAACCCGAACTTGGCAATGCAAATGTTTCTTGACCTTTTATCCTTTTTTGTTACCAGACTATAATTTTACAGCTTTCTCGAAACATCGAAAGACCATTTTTCGCTCAAGTTTCCAATTCTATAAGATAACAACGGTGCTCGTATCAGGGCAAAACCCTGAATATCCGACTGCCATTTAATTGAACTCAAAAAGTTTTTGGTAAATTAAGCATTGACAAAAATATTAACTTTAAGCTGATCATGTTAAAATTTAAATGTTAAACTTGAGGAATTGTATATGAAGTTAATTAGACCAATTAAGTTGTCTCAATTCAATTTGGAGCGCTTTTATAGAGCGCGATAATTTGCCACGCTTGTAAACCATACAACGAACATTTTGGACAGACTTGTGGCAGTTTATCATAGAGGTGTGCAGATGCGTCTGTACATATGAAGATCATGAGATCGATCCTCAAAGGACAAAAGTTTTGTAAAATTGGTCAATAAAAAACCACCCGAGCAGAAACTTTCCTTTCTTTCTTCAAAAAATGAAACAACAAGACTGTTTGTATCAGGGCAAAACCTTCAACGTTCCGACTGCCCTTTGAATGGTCTCGAATAGTCTTTGGTTAATGAAATATTTCGGACAACTTTTCAAGGGCTAGGAATGCTAATCGGCCTAATTTTTTTTATGCAGCGACGAGACGAGGACTTAAACATACCCACACCGAATTTTCTCCGGTTATTATCTATTATCTGGCGATTTTACGGTCGAACAAAAAATTATTTTCTTTTAATAATCGATTATCTGTTGATTTTGATTTTGTGGTCGTAAAATAATCGATTGTATGGTGAAAAAAATCTATTAAAAATTTTATTTTTATGTTGATTATAATGACATAAAAATAGATTGTAATAGATTTTAATATAAACAAAATAGACAAAAAAATTTGATTGAAACACAATAATGTGCGCCTTCAACTTTTTTAAATACTCAGCTGCCTGAGTGAGCATGAAATTATAAGATTATTAGCAAAAAAATATAAGCTTTCAATTAATTTTCGAATAGAGTTTCAAGTTTTGTCACGTGTCTTGTTTTACGTGGCTAATAACAGACCGCATTCTCTACAGACCGCAACCTCTATCCCGGCGGAACTCGAAATAATCAATTGGATTTGAAAAGGCGGGATGAGTGGCAGGTATGAAAAATTACTTAACACAACAAAGAAGACTTCGTAAATTTGTTTATTTTGCATCGTACTTTAATGGGGGAGTTGAAGAATGGGCTCTTTTTCCTTTTCCGCCCACCTCACATGAGCATCAATTTTATGGTTTAACGAGTGATTTTACAAGGTTAATTATGAAGACCAAATATGTTTGTCATGGCCTAATCAGTCTGTATGTCAGTTTTCATGACAACCGAAAAATGTAAACAAATTTTTTAATCATAAAAATATGCAGGTGGGGGGGGAATGAAAAAGAGCCGAATAATGTATCTTAGAATAAGTTTGCGAAGTCTTTTTTGTTGATTTATTTTATTTTATATTTTCAAGTTTTTGCTCAGAATCTGATTTACAATGATGTTTTTCCAAATTTTTGTTGCATACTTTTGAGCTCAAAAAATGATTTTTAGCTACCTTTTTCTCTATTTATTGCATTGATTTTTGCTAGAGATCTGGTTTACATTGATAGTTTTTCAAAAAATTTATTGCATTTTATTGAGCTCAAAATCTGATTTATATTGACTTTTTTCTTCATTTGTTACATATGTTTGTGCCCAAAAACTGATTTACAATGATGTTTTTCAATATTTTTATTGCAGATTTTTGTGCCCAAAGTCTTGTTTATACTGATGATTTTCATGATTTGTGTCGTTTGGTTTGAATTCAACTTTTGTTTTGAGTTTTCAAATAGCATGCTTTTAAGAAGATAGAAATCAATTTTTTAGGTAATCTAATCCATTTTTTGACAACATAATCGAATTTTTGTGTCCTAGACTTTATTGAAATTTAGTGGCGGTAGCAATAGTTTTTGTTGCAATTTTATCGCAAAAACAATAGATTTTATTGCAATTTTACGGCAAAATGCAAATCAATTTTATTGCAATTTCATGGCGATTTCAGAACGAAAAAAAAAGATTTTGTCGAGATTATGTGGAGATAAAAATATATTTTAGTGGAACTCTTGTGCAATATAATCTTCATGAAAATAATCTATTTTCTTTCTGTTATAATAGAAAATGTTGCCTAAACTAGTTACACATAATGGATTATAATGGCAACATTCTCGGCAACATTTTCTCAATATTATCTATTTTTATCCGAAAAACTTCGGTGCGGGTAAGAACTAAGATTTAAGTATATCGGTACATTCTACATACATCAGTTATAAGCAATGGATACTCTATCTGAGTCTTTTAACCCACTGATTCGATTTGGGATTTAAAAAATTCGCGACAAATTAAAGAGCAGTCGCAAGTCGCAGATTTTCTAAATCTGCTGTTAATAGTTAGTTGAAAGGAGTATGAATGTTTTTAGGACAAAAAGCTGTTTTTGATGGGGTTTCTTTATGACAAACGACAGAAAACTGTTCAGCCGAAATAACGAGTGATTAGCACAAGTCTAAAATATATTTTTCATACAGCCCTTTCCCAAAAAAAACCCAGGTGATTTTTTTCCACAAAAAACTATGCAGGAAACTCTCATGTGTAAGTATAGTGATCTCCCTTCCAAATTGGTTCTAAGTAGAGTTTAAATAGTTCACTTGGGATGTCTTCTTAAATGTTTGCACGATTGAGATGCATGCATGCCTAGTTTTCCCAGGGGCGTCTGGGGGATCATGTCTCCATAGCCAACAGTGGACATGGTAATCACTGCCCACCAGAACCCGGCGGGGATGCTGCTGAACTCATTCAAAGAAGCATCCTGAAACTATCATGTGGTAATAATTGGTAGCCACCAATAAAACTGGAATATAAAATTCTTCAGTTTCAATTAAGGCCATGTCCATGGCACGGCCTACAATGGCTATGACACTGAATCAGCACACTAACAACCGTTGCCATATGTTCAAGTTCTGTGATCGTTTGGCTGATTTGCGTGCGCATCAGTATGTACAGTTTAGTTGGCTTTATTAGAATTTTGAATAGAAAAAGAAAGATGCAAGTAGACGGGTTGAGACATAGCGGTGAATGACAAGTAGACGGGTCTGATCTAGACAGTGAACTTAATAGACAAGTATGAGAGGCAGTAAGTATACTGCAAGCAAAGTAGGAGCAACCACATACAAAGTAGCATCCACATTTAAGCTTTTTTTGCGTGCCGTTACATACAAAAAAATCATTAAAAATGCCTTAAAGTAAAAAACTATGCTACAAACCACGTTTTGCCTAGCGTTTAGTTTTGTTTAGTTTAGCAAGAAAATTAGAAATGGGTTAGTATTGGGAGTAACAGGGCTTATCCTGCAGAATTTGCCGCTTACAAGAAACTTGTTCTCGCAGGTGTAAACAGTAATATCAACCCAGCCACATTATTTCCTTGAAGTCACGATTTTGCCAAGTCACAAGTTTTGTGCTTTTGAGACTTTTTCAAAGATTTATTTGAAAAAAATGCTGTTCTGGTTACTTCAGGTTTTTTAAATTCCATTTCTGATCATAAAAATAACAAAACAATATCTTTTTTTATTGTAGAAATAACAGAACTAAACTTTTGATGTCATTTCAATCAGGGAAATTGCGGAACAAAACTTCTGATTTTATTTTGATCAGGGAACTAGCAGAAGAAAAAACAAAACTGTAACAGTACTGATCCAGTACTGTTACAGTACTGCGATTTTTTTCTTATTTATCTTTGATCAGAGATAAATTGTCGCTTGCCAGAATCTCACGCAGAACTGATATTTTACTGGAGAAATACTGATTTTCTCTGTTACTTCAACCCTGTAAAACAAACTCCAATATAATTCATTTTATTCAATTATAGTGAAATACTGCCAATTTTTTTCGATACATTTCTAATTGATTTTAAATCATTATTTCTCGCCAGATTTCCAATTTGTTTGTCATGCACAAAAAATCCATTTTAATTGATAAAAATTGTTCATTTTGTTTTTGTTTGCCTATTTTGTCTTCGACCTGGCATCTGAATTGCTCATGTTTTATGCTTTTCGTAGACGTTGGGTTATGAAAAATGGGAAAACTATTTAGCAGTTTTCTAATCATTTTAAGTTTATAACGTTTTTTCTTCTCTTCTCGATTAGAGGTATTTCATGATGCACACTTTTTTTAACCACCGATAAATCAGCACATTGTTCTAATTTCATGATTTTTGCACGAGTCATATTCACCTACGGCGGAACCTGTTAATTGAAATGAAGGTATCTCTATAAAAGTTTTGTTTCGTAGTAAAATTTTGTGTTCAGATGAACCAAAGTGTGACAAGACATCTCATTTTCAGAGATTCTGTTTGTGGCAGAAAATTAATAAACCCTTAGGATGTAATTAGAAAAACTTTTAGTGTCACAAAAATTTTTTAAAATAAGAGATTATAATGGACTATAAAAGATTTCATTTTCTTGAAAAGTATCGCAATGATAATCGATTGAAGATCCTTTTAACACCTAATTTTGGTAAAGTTTATCATGTATAATTGTCAATTTTCAAAACAAATCAACAAAATAAACCATTAGAGTCGATTACTTAAGCCCAAACTTGGATACGGTAAGGCACTCAAATTTTTACTCGAATATTGAATCCAATTTTTTTTACAGCAGTTAGATTCTTTTTGTTCGATTTGAGAGCCAGCAAGTTGAGAATTAACTATTCGTTTACCGCCTAGTTTTATTGACTACCCGCCAAGAAACTTTCCTTTTGTTTGTTATGCCCTTTATTAAGTTCACTGTATAGATCAAGCCCTTGCCATTCACCTTGTGACTCACCGACATACCTTCGGCTCGTAGCCCTGTTCGGCTATGTAGACGCCACTCGAGAAGATGACGACTGACATGGAGAAGAAGAAGATGAGCAGCCCCAACTCATTCAGACTGGAGCGGAATGTGTGGCCCAAAATCTGCAGGTTCTGCAAACAGAAGAAGACGCTTAAATCAAACCAGTTTTATCCTCACTCTTTCAATATGACGGTCATCAGTACAAAATTAAATTGAAAGGGAATTTTTTTCTTTAACTTTTTAGTTAGTTTTTTTTCTTCAATTTTTAAGCTTTTCAGTTTTTTTTTCAGACGCTTCAGAGATAAAAACACTTTTTAGTATTTATTTTAACCATTCAGATGTAACAACAGAAATTTTCTAGAATTTGAAAATGAGAAGTTTATTTCTGTGGAACTTGTATCTTTTGTGATTCGCAGAGAATCTATCAAAGTATATTGCTAGCTTGTCTAAGCATAGTCGGTTTCTCTTAATTTCCCACATTCCAGACTTAGTTTTTTTTTGTTGAGCGAATCCCAATTGAAAAGGATTAAATGTGATACTAGTTGAGGCGCTAAACACAGTGGTAAGGCGTTCACCTTGAGATCTTCAGATCGTGTAATCAACCCCCTGACATGGCCAAGATTACTTACTTAGCTTAAGATCTACCACAGCCTCAGCAATTTCGGTCGCGATAGTGGCACCACATTAAAATTTTAGACGCAAAAAACGACCTTGAGTCGCAAAAAAGAGCTTCCTTCAACAAAATAAATCAGTCTGGTATGTGGCGTAATAAGACAAACGGGCTGTGCTTAGACGGGCTTGATAGCTTTTCATAGATCCTCTGCGAATAAAAAAACTCAATATTAACAACCTGCGCAATTGATTAAAGTAATTAAATAGCGTGGAGAGCAAAAAAGTAGCATGGGGGATTTCTCGTGCGGACGTCTTAATGTTTTTCTGACATTTTTGAATGGAAAAGAGCTCGCTTTAGCTCTGCTATTTAGACCATATCTCCTTTCCTTGTTCGTCTTTTGATCAACCTTTATAATAATCATATTCCAATAAACATACACTTGCTTTTAAAAATCTATTTTTGCAATATAGTTTGGTTTGGGGGTTTTGTCATACATACGGCGTTATGTCCGTGGTAAAGGTTACGGTGCTAGAGATACTTGCAGTCTAAGTAACCACTGCTAATTGACACCTACCAATTAAAGTGAATGCTTCACGAATTGGTTTGACGCTCCAATTCTCTCGTTTTGCTTTAAACGTTCAAAGATTACGGTTGATATTTATATTTATTCAAAACCAAATTGTAACCACTTCGATATCCAGTTTGTCTACAATTGACTAGAAATCTTAATCATACTGTTATGGAAATCTTAACTTAGTTTAGTTCAGTACTTCTAGGGTTATCTCATGGCGCAGCCAGCAGTCCAGCAGTCGTACAATCGGATGACAGGACTATTAGGAGTAAGAGTATTCTGGGGAAAAGTATCTGCAGAACCCCCGTCTCCGTGGGAAACATAGGTAAGACAATTATTTCTGGAAATACCACTCAATGAAAGCTGTGAACCTAATGTACAACCAGGTCCAGATCCTGTATTTGACGAACCACCGCCAAAACCAGAAGCAATACCAACTTCAGTAACACCGGATGAAACGAAAAATAGAACAGCACGAGTCGCGGCAGCTATCCGGAAAGTCAGGGAAAGCGATTCGGAAGGACGAAGATAAGGACCCAAGATCGGCCCAAACACGTATTACCACAAAGCAAATAGCCGGGTGAAACTCAGACTTTTTAAAATCTCGGAAACAAAAGGAAGAAAACATTTCTCCAACAAAATCCACACACGAAATTAGTTACAATAATTTTGAAAGATCTTCATAACTTGTGCGAGATACTCTTCAGGAACGAGAAAAACTGTTTTGTAGAAAAAATGCAATTATACAACGCGCACAAAGGTGTAAAAAAGGTTTGAAGTTTTTTTATCTTCGATTATCCGGACAAGCGTCACAATGCGGTTGCACACAAGTCATTTAAAGGAAGTAATACGTGATATTTTCATTGCCAAAAGGAAATTTTCCGACATTCAAGGAGAGATTTGCATTAGGCCGGGTAATACCGTAAACGACACTTTGATAAAGCAGCCCTTTTTCATGAAAAGGGATACGCGACGGCTAACGTATTACGAAAGCAAAACACATTCGGACGCGGTAGCTCGAGATCTTTTCAAGGTGAAACGTAAGCCCACAAGGTCGATCCACTCAAAGTTAAGTTTTCAAAGCATGATGAACTGAGCTCTGGGCAACAATAGAAACCAGAACCGTAGAAACTTTAACTCAAGCCAAAATCAGAAGTCGTGTAACATTCGTCCGGAGGTACATACCGACGGAAAGTAAAGCTAGGTCCTAAAACGACTGGCTAGCGTCTAAACCCAGCTTCACATGCTTTTAACCGTCTCTACCAAAGCCAGTTCAAAGTCGTTACTATTTAAAGATATCGGTCAAACCGCGCAAGCTAACTTAGTTAAATTCAAAAATAGTGAGCTCATGGCTGGGTCTCAAAATACCCAGACCACGATGTCACTCCTAAAAACAGGGCTAATAATTATTATCATATTACGATTTTTTTGTTCAGTAGATAAAAGTCATCATATCCATCGGAGATGGATGAACCTTTTCCCTCAACTCCTAGCTTCTCATGTTCTGAAAAATGAACAAGAAGTTTATTAATTTCAATTCAAGACATTTCGGGAAGCTAAAAGTTGTTTAAGAACCAGTTTCCAGTCTTTCCCCAAGACCCTTCCGGTTTTGTGGTCTTCGCCAAATAAGCCCTCTCTCTAGTTTTGGGAAGTGTTGCAATCTTGTCTCTCGGCCTTCCCGATTGATAAAGTCTGAACAGTAACCATTGTGTCAGACCAATGGTTACTTTCCGGATTAATCTGGGATCTTCACACTCGGTTTTCTAATTTTCCATCTGTTGAGTTCTGCGTTCTGTGTGTTTCTTGACTATCGATAGTCGTCATCTGAATTTCGTAGTTTTTCAGTTGTCGCGAAATTTCAAGGTCCCGACGTGTCTTTATTTTTGAACGACTTTTAAAAATTATTTCGTCACTCCAAATTAACCTCTCCCAATTCGTTCAGTTGGACGATTTGCACCACTCTTGGTTCAAAACACATCGAATCCTCTCACTAAATTGTTCCGAATAAAAAATCGTTTTTTTTCTGACGAGCATTCTAAGTCACTCTTGTCGAATGTCACATCGGGAAATCAGAGCTCCTGTTCCGAATAAAAAATCGTTTTTTTTCTGACGAGCATTCTAAGTCACTCTTGTCGAATGTCTAATCGGGAAATCTTGTTATTTTTGCGGCAACAAACTTACACTTGAACATAAAGACAAGTGTGCAGCCCAAAATGTCAATGGTAAATTATGTGGGAAAAAAGTTCATTTAGCGAAGTACTGCAACTCAGCCAAACCACAAGTAGACAACGTCATATCAGATGAAGAAGCTGAAGAAATGACGAATTTTATCGACTCCGACAGTGATCCAGAAAATTCAATTTTAAAAATCAAGAAGGTAGATAACATCGGATACTCGATCAAAAGTTTAGAAATTATCCTTGCTGCAACTGAGAAAACGAATTGTTTGAGAGCCAAAGTTAGCGCAAAAGGAGCACTTTTCAGCGCGACTAATGATACGGGAAGTCCGGCATCCTTTGTCAACAAAATGACGGCCGATATTTTATTATCCAAGGAATCACGAGCAACAACAATAGTTCAAGAAAGACCAATTACCACGTCATATGTGGATTACAACCACAGATATTTTAACTATTCGGAAAACTATTAGTAGATATCAACTCAAACGGTTGGGTGAAGAAAAACGCAAACTTTTCAGTCTCTGGAAATAGAACAAGGTGCCTACTAGGTTTAGATTTACAGCAAGATCTGGGTATTGTAACGAGGCAACAGTAAATGTTAAACACAGTAACCGCGATCGCAGAATCAGAAGAAAAAATCGAGTCGACAACACCAAAAAAGTGGAAAAAGCATTTCGTCAAAATATATGAATATGTTTTTACCAGATTAGGCAGGTAAAAAAACCATAAACCTTTTAAACTTTTCAAATCGCCGTTAATACTTATACAAGAAAAAGGTACACAAGTCCCGATTCACAGACAACATAAGGTTGGCAACGAAATTCATAAACTAATTAAGGAGGGACACATTATAAAATTAGACAAAAGCACGAGTGACCATTAACGGCGAAGAAGGACCGTGCAGTAAAACTGGCGATGGACTCCGAGCTAATGAATGATCAAATTTTAAAAAACAAATTCCAGATGCCAAAGCTACAAGAGCTCTTAGATTCAGCAGCCCAAATCATAACCTCAAAAACAAAGAGGAAAAGATTGGCTTACATCTCTAGATCTAAACTGTGCATTCAGTCAATTAAGCCATGATGAATCGATAAGCAAACACTGTGACTTTAGTATTGTATGTGGAGAACACACGGAGACACAATTAGATTCAAAACAGACTTCTACGGATTGACGGACATGCCTAAATAATTTCAAAATGCAAGGGATAAAACATTCGGCGGTATTCCTGGAGTATTCTGTTTTCAGATGATTTTTGAATCGTTTTGCAAGGAGAAATCTTGGATAAAATTTTTTTTGAGGAAGTCATGAGGAAGACAGATGCAGAAGATTTCGTGTTGAAACTTATTAAGTGCAATTTGTCCAAGGAATCTATTACATGGTTAGGATTCGAGATTGACTCAATAGGCATTAGACCAAAGCATTAGAAAGTAAAAGCAGTCATGAACCTCTCGCCTTCAAAAACGCTAAAGAAATTAAGATCATTTATTGGAGTTTTGAACCATTTTTCTAGATTCATCCCAAATATTCAGATGACCACAAAAAATTTTAGACTATCACTGAAATTAAGCAACAAATTAAATTTTTTTTGGGAGAACCTCAAGAACTAGCATTCAAGTCATTATTGCTGTTAATAGCAGACATAACCAAAACATTTCATTACAAGCAGTCAATAAATTCGCGGATAAATTGTCACGCTAGCCTCAAAAACCTGGGTGCCGCCAAAGAACAGGAAGTTGAACGTGGAAATTGGGCACCTTTCGCATTCACTTCTAGATTCCTCAAATTCGCAGAACAGAAATACAGCACAAACGAGCGTGAACAACTAGCAGTAGTATGGTCATGTGAATTTTTCCGTTATTATAATGGGAAACCAAACCATCTTCTGACTGACCATAAAGCAAACATTCCCGGGATAACAGAAAACCGAGGGAATCGAACAAACCAATCGAGACTAACAAGGTGCGCAGATAGGATGCTACTATTTGACTACATCAGATCACAAATCGCGGGGAGAAAATTAATATGGCGGGTTATCTACGTGACACGAAGTTACCGGCACCATTAACATTACAATTCGATGAACAATTTGTAAGCAAATCAATTAATTTTTTTTATATAGCTTAGAGAAATACCCAGTTGGATAAAGTCAAGAAGCCGCTAGAAGGCTCAGAAATCGAAGATGTCAAAATTGTTCAATCAGATCAAAACCGGAAGAAGTCGTCGGATATGTAGAAATTATCTTCAACCAATCAAAAACGTTCCACCCAGTTTGCAAATTTCTTTAAGTGGGCGGCACTCATGAGATTGCAAACTCTGACCAATCAGGGAAGAGATTGTTTAATTATGCATATTTATGCACAAATGCCAGCCAATCAGAAGCAGTTGGCCATATTGCCCCGAAAATTGGAAAAATCATTTTCTCCGAACTTACAGTCAAATGCATGTTCACAAAACCATCATATTTTCTTATCAAATCAGTTTTTTCATGTCAATTCTTATTCAATCTCATCACAATTCAGTCCAATTCTATCAATTAGTTCCAATTTCAATTCATCACATTTTAATCAAATTTCACAAATAATTCCACCGACAACTTTAGTTTTCAGACAATCTCAGATAACAAATTTAATCTACCTTCGGAAAGGGTTGACTTTTCAGCAAATACATCTAATGTCAGGGGAAGAGCGGAAGAACAGGAAGATACCATTAAAAGAATCACCAAGAAGGAAGCTGAAGTTGAGAAACAACTATGCCAAATCTCTCGCGAATTTCAGAATGAACAGATTGCAGAAGGCGGCCAAACTTAACTCGATGATCACTAGAGTCAAAAAGATTACGGCAGGAAACGTACCAACAGTTTCCAAGGACCTAAAAATTTTCACAACAGGATGAGCAGATCTTCTATATGCCGATCTGTTGGAAAAACTAACATTAGAAGAGAGTCAATTGGCACCACGTAGAAAGTACATCCTAGCCAAAGATAGCGAGAGGTTACTTCGCTTGGGCAATTTTTTATCTGGATTTTGAGACGATGCGAAAGTAATCAATGACTGTGCCACTATTGACAACCAAGTATCCTTTCCGATGTGTCGTAGGAAGGCGGTCATAAGCAGACGAGATCAAACTCATCCGGGACAGGAACCCTAGATAGACACGGCAACTTATTTGTTGTTGCCAAGATTGCACCAAACGATAATCATTCAGTGCCAGAACTGTCGATGGTGTTCATTCTATGACCGAGAAAATTTAGCAAGAGACATGCTAACTCCGGAGAAATTGAGAGAGCAATCAGATTCCAGAAACAGACTCAACGCGATACCGAAAAAGGTGAGCCACATGGATTACTCAAGTTCGGAAAAACAATACCCTAAGATAGGGGGATGGGCAAAGCGGCTAAAGACCGGAGAGTTTTGAAACGGAAACTATCGCATTTAGAAAGCTCAGAGACTTCGAGGAGGTTAACTGAGCGAGTACCACTTCTTGCAGCCAGCCTGAGCAACGATTTAAATCAGGGAACACTCAGTTTCAGGACGGAGACAAGAGTTATCATATCAAGAAAGGAAGCACATTGATCTCACCAGCAAATCAGCCGAATGTAACTACTTCCAGTCCAGCGCTTGGGAAGTCTTAGAAGAATGGTAACGTATTGCCCAGAGACATTGGAGAATCTGCGTACCAGTCTAAATACCGTCAAGATAGACAGAGGTCTGGCCTGTATTGAATTGTCTGCTGATGTTGAGTATGGGGAATATGCGGACCAGTCTGGTTATCCTCAACTTAGACAGAGGTCTGGCCTACTTTGGAAGGTCTAGTGATTTTGAGAATGGGAATTATGCGGAGCAGTCTAGTTATCCTCAACATAGACAGAGATCTGACCTACCTTGGAGTGTATGGTGAATTTGAGAATGGGGTAAATGCGGATATGTCTGGTTATCACCAGCATAGACAGATGTCTGGCCTACCTTGGAGTGTCTGCTGAATTTGAGAATGGGGAAATGCGGACCAGTCTGGTTATCGTCAACATAGACAGAGGTCTGGCCTACTTTGGAGTGTTTGGTGAGATTGAGAATGGGGAAAATGCGGACCAGTCTGGTTTTTTTCAACATAAACAGAGGTGTTACCTACCTTGGAGTGTATGCTGAGTTCGAGAATGGATAATATGCGGACCAGTCTGGTTATTCTCAATATAGACAGAGATCTGACCTAACTTGGAGTGTATGGTGAATTTGGGAATGGGGTAAATGCGGACCAGTCTGGTTATCCCCAGCATTGACAGAAATCTGGCCTACCTTGGAGTGTCTGCTGAATTTGAGAATGGGGAAATGCGGACCAGTCTGGTTACCTTCAACATAAACAGATGTAAGACCTACCTTGGAGTGAATAGTGATTTTGAGAATGGGGAATATGCGGACCAGTCTGGTTATTCTCAACATAGACAGAGATCTGGCCTAACTTGGAGTGTCTGGTGAGCTTGAGTATGGTTGTATGCGGACCAGTTTGGTTATCCTCAGCAAACACGGAGGTCTGGCCTATCTTGGAGTGTCTGGAGATTTTCAGTATGGGCAATATGCGGACCAGTCTGCTGATCCTCAACATACACAGAGGTCTGGCCTTCCTTGGAGTGTCTGGTGAGTTTAAGAATGGGGAAATGCGGACCAGTCTGGTTATCCTCAACATAGACAAGGGTCTGGCCTACCTCGGAGAATCTGGTGAGTTTGAGTATGGGGTAAGTGCGGACCAGTCTGTTATCCTCAACATAGACAGAGGTCTGGCCTACCTTGGAGTGTCTGGTGAATTTGAGAATGGGGCATATGCGGACCAAACTAGTTATCCTCAACATAAACAGAGGTCTGGCCTTCTTGGAGTGACTGGTGAGTTTAAGTATGGGTTATATGCTGACCAGTCTGGTTGTCCTCAACATAGACAGAGGTCTTGCCTACCTGGGAGTGTCTGGTGATTTTGAGAATGGGGAATATGCGGACCAGTCTAGTAATCTTCAACATAGACAGAGGTCTGGCCTAACTTGGATTGTCTGGTGAGTTTGAGTATGGGTTATATTGCTGACCAGTCTAGTTATCCTCAACATAATCAGAGGTCTGGCCTACCTTGGAGTGTCTGGAGAGTTTCAGTATAGGGAATATGCGGACCAGTCTGGTTATTCTCAACATAGACAGAGATCTGGCCTATCTTGGAGTGTCTGGTGAGCTTGAGGATGGTTGTATGCGGACCAGTTTGGTTATCCTCAGCAAACACGGAGGTCTGGCCTATCTTGGAGTGTCTGGAGAGTTTCAATATGGGCAATATGCGGACCAGTCTGCTTATCCTCAACATAGACAGAGGTCTGGCATACCTTGGAGTGTCTGGTGAGTTTGAGAATGAGGCATATGCGGACCAAACTAGTTATCCTCAACATAAACAGAGGTCTGGCCTACTTGGAGTGACTGGTGAGTTTAAGTATGGGTTATATGCGGACCAGTCTGGTTGTCCTCAACATAAACAGAGGTCTGGCCTACCTGGGAGTGTCTGGTGAGTTTGAGAATGGGGAATATGCGGACCAGTCTAGTAATCCTCAACATAGACAGAGGTCTGACCTAACTTGGATTGTCTGGTGAGTTTGAGTATGGGTTATATGCTGACCAGTCTAGTTATCCTCAACATAAGCAGAGGTCTGGCCTACCTTGGAGTGTCTGGAGAGTTTCAGTATGGGGAATATGCGGACCAGTCTGGTTATTCTCAACATAGACAGAGATCTGGCCTACCTTGGAGTGTCTGGTGAGCTTGAGTATGGTTGTATGCGGACCAGTTTGGTTATCCTCAGCAAACACGGAGGTCTGGCCTATCTTGGAGTGTCTGGAGAGTTTCAGTATGGGCAATATGCGGACCAGTCTGCTTATCCTCAACATAGACAGAGGTCTGGCATACCTTGGAGTGTCTGGTGAGTTTGAGAATGGGGCATATGCGGACCAAACTAGTTATCCTCAACATAAACAGAGGTCTGGCCTACTTGGAGTGACTGGTGAGTTTAAGTATGGGTTATCTGCGGACCAGTCTGGTTGTCCTCAACATAGACAGAGGTCTGGCCTACCTGGGAGTGTCTGGTGAGTTTGAGAATGGGGAATATGCGGACCAGTCTAGTAATCCTCAACTTAGACAGAGGTCTGGCCTAACTTGGATTGTCTGGTGAGTTTGAGAATGGGGCATATGCGGATCAGTCTAGTTATTCTCAACATAAACAGAGGTCTGGCCTACCTTGGAGTGTCTGGTGAGTTTGAGTAAGGGTTATGTGCGGACCAGTCTGCTTATCCTCAACATAGACAGAGGTCTGGCCTACCTTGGTTTGTCTGGTGAGTTTGAGAATGGGGCATATGCGGACCAGTCTAGTTATTCTCAACATAAACAGAGGTCTGGCCTACCTTGGAGTGTCTGGTGAGTTTGAGTAAGGGTTATGTGCGGACCAGTCTAATTGTTCTAAGCATAGACAGAGGTCTGGTCTACCTTGGAGTGTCTGGTGAGTTTCATTATGGGTTAAATGCTGACCAGTCTAGTTATCCTCAGCATAGGCAGAGGTCTGACCTACCTTGGAGTGTCTGGTGAGTTTGAGAATGGGGCATATGCGGACCAGTCTAGTAATCCTCAACATAGACAGAGGTCTGGCCTACCTTGGGTAGTGTCTGGTAAGTTTGAATATGGGGTATATAGGGACCAGTCTAGCTATCCTCACAAAACAGAGGTCTGGCCTAACTTGGAGTGTCTGGTGAGTTTGATTATGGGTTAAATGCTGACCAGTCTAGTTATCCTCAGCATAGGAAGCGGTCTGACCTACCTTGGAGTGTCTGGTGAGTTCAAGAATGGGGAATTTGCGAACCAGTCTAGTTATCCTCAACATAGACAGAGTTCTGGCCTACCTTGGAGAATCTGGTGAGTTTGAGTATGGGGTATATGCGGACCATATTGTTATCCTCAACATAGACAGAGGTCTGGCCTACCTTGGAGTCTCTGGTGAGTTTGAGTAAGGGTTATGTGCGGACCAGTCTAATTGTCCAAAACATAGACAGAGTTCTGGCCTACCTTGTAGTGTCTGGTGAGTTTGAGAATGTGGCATATGCGGACCAGTCTAGTTATCCTCACTATAGACAGAGGTCTGGCCTACCTTGGAGTGTCTGGTGAGTTTAAGTATGGGTTAAATGCGGACCAGTCTGGTTATGCTCAGCATAGACAGAGGTCTGGCCTAACTTGGAGTGTCCGATGAGGTTGAGTTGGGATTATATGCTGACCAGTTTAGTTATCCTCAACATAGGCAGAGGTCTAGCCTTCCCTGGAGTGTCTGGTGAGTTTAAGAATGGGTAATATGCGAACCAGTCTGGTTATCCTCAACATAGACAAGGGTCTGGCCTATCTCAGAGAATCTGGTGAGTTTGAGTATGGGTCAAATGCGGACCAGTC